TTATACGCTGCTGCAGTTGGATTGTCTAATAAATCATTTTATATTTTTGGACAATATATCATGCCTATTAGAATGAAGTGTGAGTGTCGCAAGGGCATAGTAGACGAAAACAGTAGATTTTTAAATACTTGTACAAAGTATTCAGAGTTGTAGCTATATGGTGATAAAAACCACGCTGTGGTTTCCATTTTTTTTGAAGAATCGCGCAGCGGATGTGGCGTGTGAACGATTCCGTTTGGTTCAGTAGAACTAGAGACTTAGAATTAAAAAATTTCGGTAGATCTAGAGAACTAGAGATAAAGAAAATTCAGAAAATAAGAGTTGAATGTAGGAACATCTGTCGACCTCAAAGGCTCGACGAAAAATGAATATGCTCCGTGTCGGGCTGTTTCTGTTCTGAAGTGATCGCGCATGGCCCACACCCGCTCGCCCCTCCCCCCACCCCCCAAAGTTGGATACGGGGCAACTTTATGAAATGGCAGGAACATTTCTGGCAACATGAATGCTATAACAGTTTTCTTTCTGTCGCATATTGTTATGGAGATCAACTATTATGCAATGTGAGTTACTTTTAAATATGACAAATATAAATTGTGATACAAATTCAAACAAAAATATTCGAGTTTCACTGGAGATGTTTACAGCGAATAAAGTTCACTTTGTTATAAAGTTGTTAAAGTGCAAGATGAGACCACATTAATATAGTATGGATGACACATTTTTTTGAAATCGCTTATGTTTCTAAAACACTGATTTGAATTTTAAAATATCAAATGATATTCACATGTTTCGGTTGGTCTGGTAGTTTCGATTATTTTGTAACAAGTACAATTGAAAAATAATTCAATCACATTCCAATAAGGTGTTTCCTTACAGATTAGTGCACGAATCCTGTACTTCTTAAGTATCTGCTCGTAAAGGCATACAGGCTTGAAGTTACGAGTAAAGGTCGATCAACTAGCTGACCGGTAGCCGGTTCAGTGGAAGCAGCTTTTTGCGCAAGCGTTTGCGGTCCTTTCAATAGCATCGTGTGAACAGCCCGCCATTCGCAGAATTGTATCACTTTCCGATCCGTTCTTTAAGATCTGCCGGTAATTATACAATAACGCTATTACCTTTTAACATGTGTAAATACTGGAATATACAAAGTGGATTCAGTATCGGTATATTCTTTCTAAAATCTTTAGTTTTTCAGGAATTAGATGTTTTCACATTTATTATAAAAATTGTACAAACATAAATAAACATGCAAATTGTGCGAATAAAGAAGATTTTCTTTAAACATGAGGTATTTGAATCTTAAAGGAAACAGGCCATACTACACAAGGACCTCGAAGTGGTCGCCAGGAGGACGTTCGATTGATGCAGACATCATCTTCGACTGCTCTTTAAGCCGTTACATAAACCGTGAATTTACGAACTAAATTCCACAGAAATTTGTATACAATGAACTCCTCGATCAAACTGTCACAGGGACCATGCGGAATCACTTCTCCTTGGCCTTTCCCGTCGAACAAAAATTACTTTTGCCTCGGTCGATGCGATCCATCGCCTTCGGTTCAGTGTGCCAGAGAATCGTTAAGACGCTAGAGTAATGTTATCAATTTTCCATTACAATTTGTATTAAAAATATGTCTTTCTCGATACCACGCTGCCCTTGCCTTTTCCAAAGCGCAAATTATTGTATCTTTCAGATATTTCCGATATATCGTAGCAATGTTAAGACGTCGATCGTTGAGCAAGACTAACGACACATGCGGAGGACTGGAATCTATGAAACTTCCGGTTGTTCGTGGAGAGTTGGCAAAATTGCTGGAGCATGGAGAAGAAAAATGCATCGACTGACCATCTATTATCCCGTTTTTCTTTTACCAGTCTAAATCAATTTAACATATACATAATTAATCATCTGCTCCGGTCATTCGTTTCACCCGAGTTGTAAGTAAATTTTTGGCTAGCTGTAATGGAAATTATTGGATACGATTACCCGCGTGTTTGCTCGTACCTCGAAGATGTTTTTTTTTTTTTTTCGTATAATCGTTGCCAAGAGAAACAGGCACTATCAGCGTGTACTGTCCAGTCCTACTTTCAATTCGACGCGTTGTAAACATTCGGTTGGTTAAAGAAGTAAAACTTTCTTTTGCCTCAGCGCACCTCAGTCCTACTCGCGTGGGCGTAAAGGCCCGGTTTTACGTGATTTCGTAACGGCAACAGACCGATTTCCAGTATCAAAAGCGCTTCATGAAGATCCCGAAGGCCTTCGGAGTCTCTATCTCCTTCTTCATCCTCTCTCCGTGTTCTAGAACGCCCTTGTGTACACGAGCAGTGTGGTGGGGGGGGGGGGGAGGGGATAAAATTTTGCTCCTTTTTTTAGACGAATCTTCTAAATTTCTAGATTTAATAATTGTTTCAAACTTAACGTCGCAAATATTTCCAGACCGCTGTTTCTCCTACTGCTTTCATCAAAGTTTCTGGATTTCGAAAAGCAACTTGAAAAAGTCTTCATCATGGAGATCAGGTTCACCGACAATCCACACCAAGAACAATCTAAATCCTAAAACGATACAAAATTCCAAGGAACCTTCCGCTTCCAGTGTGCGACTTCAAGGCTTCAGAACATAAGATCCTTTCGTTTGTGTCGACCTTCAGGACGTTTCCGGTCGTTTCAATTTTCCACGATACTGTCTGGCGGATAAGCACAGTGAAACTGGACCGATTAACGACCCGCTGCATCGACGGAGAGGTATACATGTGTCTAAAAATTGAATTTTCTCTCGATGCTCGTGCAACGAAGACATCAAATCGGATGTATAGGTAGTAGATGTGACGAAATTATTTCAAGGTAAAATCGTAGTATTAACCTCTTCAGGGACGAGTTTATTAAGACCAGAGAGAATATTAAAATACGTTTATAAATATTACCGACAATCAATAGGTAAAATATTCTTTTTTATTGAGGAATATCCTAGTGAAAATTGAATTACACTTATCGCCAAACTATCTATCCTCCTAAGCAGCCAGAAGCCTTTTTTTCTCTCAACAAGTCCGGTAAATTAAAAAAAAAAAAAAAAACAGTAACTACTCGCTATGTTCTATGACGATATCAGTCTAAGGATCCCTGTCCGTAGACAATGGAGACAGGATTAACAGGAGGGGTGACGTTGGTCGAATTAGCGTCAGCCAACCTGTAACGGTGACGTCGCCCCGACGGATACCTGCTCTCCGGGACTATGAGAACACGAGGCGGCTCTGGCAGCGGGAGCAAGAGCGGCGGCGGCGGCGGTTCAAGTGGGCGTAAGGGCCGGGGAGAGAGAACGTCGTCCCGTGTTCCATACATGGCTATGCTATGTGGAAACTGAGAGACACAGAAAGACGGACGCACCGGCGGCTGGAAGTCCCCACCGTGTGGACAACGGTGGGTAGGCGACGTTTTCTCGGCGCGGGTTGCCCACCGCATGCCCTCGTGCACAGTATCAGCTAGTACCACGTCGTCGTACGGTCGGTTCTTTCGTCGCACCGTTTAAACAATCGAGCACACGCGTTCTTCTTAACCCCCGTAAAATACGTCGAGGGGTGGGTGTAATAAGAGAAGAAAAAAGAAACGCTGCTGGAAACGCTTTACGTGGAGCAAAACCGGAAGATGCACTCGGCGAACGCGTCACTGGCGTGGGTGTACCGTTTCTGCCTGTTGTTCGTTCCACAGACGTGAACCCACCGACGGTTCTCTAACCGCAACAGAATTTTCCGAGAGGTGGTTCAAAAGCGTCCGCGCCTATGCTCGCGTGACAGCCCGGTTTTTGGTACACACGGCGAGCGTGCTGCGATTGGCCCTTTCGAGCGTTGCCCGCCCGCGCCCGCGCGCGCGCGTTCGACAGCCAACGTGGGTTGGATGCGTGAATGCTTCCCGTGCCGCGCCTGCGTGAGTGCTACGCAACATACCGCGTGTGTACGTGTGTCGCGCGTGAAGAGAAACCGTAGGGGCCACGAAAAACTCGGGGACCAGAGAGACCACACATTGCCGTAGGTACGTGCGCACACGGAGGGGATGCATGCGGATCCACCCTGGTCTTTCCTAGCATTTTCGGATCTCTTGTCGCGATGATGGAACACGTTCTTTTGCTTATCGTTCGATTGGAATAGTCTGTCGCGCAGATTGTTATTTAAACAGTGGATGGGTTTCTAATCGCTCGATTACTCGGACTTGTTAATTATTAAATGGTACTTACTATTAAATGGCGTTCTTTTGGTAGGACTACAATGGTTATTCGGTGTTCTGTTGTTGTATCGTAAGGAAAGACTAAAGCTATGAGGATTTCTATTAAGTTTAATCCTAGATCGGTGAACTATCGTAAAACTTATGACATCAAATTAGGGGTTATAAATATTTATAACGTAGGTTTCTATCTTAATAGACATTAGATGTCTCTAAAATATCACGTGTTTTCTTTCAGTCGTACTTTTTACAAATGGTTAGTAATAACGTAAGTCACAGAGGATAGTTTAGTAATCTCGGGGTTAATTAACTCTTGGTTAATAGTTCCTATGTTAGATCGAGTGTTTTTGTTTTTATCTTTGATATTCTCACCGATAGTATATAGAATGCGCATAAAAACGCCCTCACTCTGATGTGGTCGGTTCACCTAGATCGAAACACCCACAACGATGGGAGCTTCTTAATGAATGCAACGTGTTAACGATTCATGGATCGGCTTTCATTCTCGACTTTATTTCATAAAAACTTCGTTACAGCTCGTATCGTAAATATTCCAGCGGTATACTCGAAGTTGTTCATAAACGAGTATTTTGCCAAGAAGATTGGTCGTCGATACTCGCAATATATCTATATCTAAGCGTGTAAACCTTTTTTTTTTTCGAACCGTTGTTCCTCGCTACGTCTGTCCTCTCTTTTTCGACGATCGTTTTTAGCGTCCTACGAAGACGAAAACCAGTTTCGCGTCCGGACATGGACGTCTGGCGAATCGTGATACCGAAAGAAAGAAGGAATCGCTCAATCGATGATCGTGGTTTCTTCCACTTGGATGTATCTCCCGGAAAGGTCGCCCCGTTGTCTTCCAACCACATAGTGGCCGTTCCCACTCGTAAAACGCTTTTCCATCGAATTCGTTCGCGGTTATCCTGACTTTTGTCTTGGTTACCCAATCAGGGTGACGGCGAGGCAACAACATCCAGGCCCCCGAGCGCATAATATTTTCTTCGGGGAAACAGTCTCGTTAAAAGTCGCGCGCAGCCTTGTCTTTTAATGCGTTTACGTCCCACGTTTGACAAGTTTCCGTCACAACCGTTCTCTCTCGGTTTCGATCGAAGGGATCGGGCACGCGTGGACAGAGAAACCTTTCGAACGGTCTTGGAAAAGTATACGATCAATTTTCAACCGATCATTTCTTCGTTTTCTTCGATTGTTCCTGTTTCTCGCGTTCCGCCTTCAGGGCCATCAGCATCCTCGCCCTCTTCGTCGCGATCGGAGTACGCGACTCGAATTTTGCAAACTGACTCAACGTCTTCTTCGAAAACGGTTCGTGTTTCATCACCTCCTCCATGATTTCTCGAGGGTTCAACGGTTCAAATCTGAGGGTGATCCGTCGTCGAACGTTTAGAACGTTCTCGATCGCTTGCTTTATGAATTCCAACGGAATGCCCTCGGACATTTTGGCCAGACAGGAGACGTCGATATCGCGATCGACGCCGTGGTACCTCATCAGCAGATCTTTGTAAAACATGTACAGCGTGTTGTAGTCCGTGAGAGGAATCATTATGAACTTGTCGTGGACCCTGACGAAGGGTCTTGTTGCTTTATATGGCTCCGAGGAGGTCGTGAGAAATAGGATCTGAAAAGTTACACGAGGGTTCGGTAGCTCCACGTATTGAAACACGTTTCAGTCGGAATTTATATGACAGACAGATCAATAATTCAATTGTAATTGACGAACAACGATGAATATTATTAATTCCATTCGTTTGAAATCTCTACGCCAATGGTTCCCCGTATCTGTTCGGAATCATCGACACTCTAAATCCTACGTTCACTCGGTACCACCTACGTTCCAGTCGTTCGGTAGGAGGTGTTTCATTGATGACCAGGTTCGAACGATCGCGACGTTTAGGAAAGAGAAAGAGGGGAGGATCGAGGAGGGGGGAACAAGCGACCGGGCTGTTTGAGGTGGTTCATTCATATCGGAGAAAGAGTCGAAACAGGAATATCAAGAATTTCATAAAGTGGGCGCTACCAGATCACCAACTTTAACATTCCTCGCCACTTTAGGAAAGGCACTCTGTGTAACGCCAATCAACACTGCAGCACGGGCGCATTTGCCTTTCGAACAACGAAATCCCGAGTATATACGAACTTTTATGGAATGGGAATACACACGAATACGCGTTTCGACTTATTTCTTTCAGATCAGTCGTCAAGTTGTAAGTTGTGAGTAAATGTGAAGCTCCCTTTTTCAAATTCTTCGTAATGAAATTCTCTATCGATCTCTCCAGCCTGAATATTCAATTTCGTTGCTGATTTCTTTATAATTATATACGCGTTTCGTTAAATACAAATAAACGAGCAACGAAATTGAAAATTTAGGCTGGATAGATCGATAGAGAACTTCGTTACGAAGAATTTAAAAAAAAGACCTTTAAATTTACTTCAAAATTACAACACGTAGACCGATTTGAAAAAATACTGTTAAACGAGATTGGTGAAGGTTGTGTATACATAGGGTAAACGCACCGATGAATGAACACTTAAGAGATTCAGTAACAATTAATGTCGAATGTTAAATGATACTATTACCAAATATATAGTACATGAAAATTAGATTGTTTAATACCTATACATCTTCCTACAATGATTTCAATTTGATAATTTGGAAAAACGTTGTTAATTAAATTAAAAAGTAGAAAGTACAGATTTTACCACATAATGTTCATTCACTGGTACATATTCATTTGCTGCTGCATCCACCCTGCGTAATTTTTCATCGAGTTACCTGATCGCCACGCTTGATGCTTTTTACGAATTTCGGATAGTACTTTGCGAATCTTTTCGGTTTATTGACCCTCTCCTCGGCGGGCACTTTCTTCGCCCAAAGCTTCTCGCTGTTATCGATGAAGATTACAGAAGGAGCAAGCTCGCGGGCCACTTTCGAGATCATGTCGATCAACTTTCGTTCGTTTTTTCGGCCCACGTACTTGTCCACCAGCACGCTCGGCGTCATATTAATTAACAATGCTCCAACCTGTACAGGATAACTGATTTTGAAACTTGAATAGCTTCCTTAACCCTTTCATTCCCACTGTAGGTATTCTAAATTATGAAATAAAATATTAACATTTTTTTTCTCATTATGAAATAAAGTATTGTTTATTTTTTTATATCTGTGGGTATATAATAATTTCTTCTACTCTTGTATAAATGGTATGGCACAAATTTTAATGAGCATTTACAAGCTTAGAAAAATTGGGTTTCATAACGAATAATAACATTATATTGACAATTATTATATATAAGTCTGATAGAAGTGAAAAAATTATCAAATGGCAACGAATTGAAAATGGCATTAGACGGTTTCAAAATGTTAAAATGTTGTGAATCATTTATATGTCGTCTACCACACCCAAAAATACAAGAAAATATTTCTTTGATAATTTTTAAATGATTCGGGAATGAAAGGATTAATCGTTTTCATAGCCAGTTTGTGTTCGTTAAAATCACCAAACCTCGGAGCAAATCGCATTCACTAAGAACGTCTTCCCGTGTCGTGGTAATCCACAAATGCATACCGATCGCACCATCGGTGCGATTTGGTGAATTTCTTTGGAGCTCAACGGAAGAATGCAATTCTCCATCACCACCTGCTTGATCTCGCCCAATCGGTGTCTGTGATCACGAAACTCTCGAGCTGCTTCGTAATTTTCATACGAAAGATCTCCCACCCAGCCTTTCAGAGAGGTCAGAGGGTAATCTTCGATAATATTCGCGTGGACTAGTTCACTGAAAATGTCCTCCACAGTGGCGTTGCCCAGTAGATCCCTCTTCTTTCCCTTCCTTCCTTTCTTCTTTTTCTTTCTTCCTTTTGAACAAAATTACACGTATACAGTTACTTAATTATTAAACGTTCAAACGGGTTCTGGGTGTATTTTGCGAGTTGTGCTCGTTAGAATAATAAACTGTATAGAAGACCACCATCGCAGAAGAGTTTAGTACGCCTACTGTCACGGCTATAAAAGGATCAGAGTTTAATGTATGTTAATGATCACGTTGGTCAGCGAGTAATCACTTCTTAATTAGTGCCTTATACGAGGTTTTTCCGTCGCGAGATTAAGTCTTCACCGAGTATGATTGCACCAACGAGATATCAAGTAATACAAAACGAATCTGTGTATTTACATATCAGGTAACGAAGAAAGTTTTTTGCCGATTCTAGATTTTGTTATTATCAGACTGTAGATGTACATCGAACAAGTGAAAGTACGGTTATGTATGCTTAGATAACAGAGAATTTACTGGTGTATAACACTTACTATGTAAAATTATTGATACTAGAGGGGAAAACTTTGGCTAAAGGTGACTATTTTTCTGAAGTATTGTTTCATCCACATTGTGTACCATTTATTGATTAAAACGGCACGAACTTTCATGGTTACCTAATATATGTGACCAGGACAGAAGATGAAGTTCTGTTAATCTCGAGCGCATTAAAATTCAACCGATTAACTTACCCCCCTTCGATTTCGGTATATCGATATGTTTATTATTAGCTTTGCAATCTTTCTTCAACGCCTGGTTCAATTTCTTCAGTTCGAGCCTCATCAGTTCGTCGACGATTTCCCTCATTTCCAATTGCAATTCGTAACACAATTTATCCTTGATCAGGTCCCCGTAGATCATTTCCCCCGTATCGTCCGTATCGCGACGGAAACTCCAGTTTCCGATGAAATCCCGATTGGCCTCGTCGAGAAGGGTGAACGCTTTCGTTTCCGGCATCCATGGTTTCTTCCTTTTTCTCTTTTTGCGTTCACCTTTCCCACCCTTTTTTGGTTCTTCTTTCGCATCTTTTGCCTTCACTTTCTGGGCCAGAAATTCTTGGGGCGTTAACGTTTGCCCAGTCGCGACTAAAACGGTACCGCCCAAACTCGCGGCCGGATAGACGTCAAAATGGCCCGTTTCGTTGTACCAGATCACGAACCATTCTCGAATCTCGTCCGTGATGTCCTCCATCAACCCTGGCCCTTTGACCTTCCACAGCTTTTTCGAATCAAGAGCGAGATCGTTAATACACCACGGAGAACAGTAATCAACCGTGCACAGTGGGTACAAAAAGTATTCGTACACCTTTTAAAACAGAACAATTTTTTAAAAATTGAACCAAGTGACTTGACTTTTTTTTTTGCGAAATCGGAAGGATTAGTTTACTAAGTGACGAGTGAAAAGACAGTTGTAAAAAGCGATCTTTACTATTTTCTTCGTAAACTAATTTTTCTAACGTCATAAAAAGACTCAAGTCACTTGGTGCAATTTTAAAAAAGTTGTTCGGTGTTAAAGGGTGTACGAATGCTTTTTTTTATTTCACTACAGTACTGTTTCTATAATATTAAACTTCCGTGAATGTTAAACTAAGTTTTCTCGTTTTAGAAACCCGGAGGAGACAGAACAATTAAGAACTAGAGCGACGTAATTATACGGATGTATCAGGAGACTTGGATTACTTTCGTTCGATGATCTTCCGTTGCCTTTGCAACGTGTTCCGCGCAGACCGGCATCGATTCCAGTTTCTTCTGGAAGTTTTCTCTGTCTTTCGCAAGCACACGATCGGATTTCCAACTGGGTATCGACATACCGATCAATTCCTCGAATCGTCCCATCCTCTTTCGCTGCGCCTTCTTCCGTAGGTACGTCCACCACGCTCTTTGTATCGTTCTGGCAGCTTTTTCGTACGTGGCTTTGGAGAACATTTTCGGAACGATTTCGCCGGTCTCCACTCTCCTTCGGTAAGCGTTCGTCCGTTCCACTGTAACGTTAACGTGGTGCCAAGGGAAACGTATTTTGTAAAGGTGTTAATTTATTATTATTAATTTATGTAACCGTTTCATTCCCAGATTATTTAAAAATTACCAAAAATATCAACCACCTGATCCCTATACAGGGTAACGTTGGTGATTACATGCAATTTATGCTGGTCATACAGACTGTTCTGATAATAATTAAGAGACAATTAAGAAAGTTACGCTCGATCCCGGTGATTCGAGCCATTCTCGCCCTCTCGTGAGATTGTATGAGGAGTATTGCTTTCCTCATAGTCTCCTCAGCGGCGAGGCGAGCCTCTCTGGCCGCTAACACTTCCGATGGTACATGGAGGATCGACTGTTGAACCTTGATTGCGCTCTCTTCCTTCACTCTTCTTTTTCGAAATTTCGCCGCGCTCTCCTCGGATTCCGCGACAGTCAAAACTTCCGTTTCCGTGGTGTGTTCTTCCATGTCAGTTTCCGGTACTGTTCGCCGAGTTCGTATAAAAATTGTAATTACTTCAACGGTGCCTGCCGTTTCGTAACCTTAAGCTGTTCGATGAATGTCAACGGTAACTTGCGTTTGTGGGCGTTTTCCATTAACTGTACGATGCGTTTTCTACGGTACTGAACAACGTCTTTGCCAGCCGCGGACACTGTGATTTCCACGTCATCCGGTGTGTATTTCAGCTGTTTCATGAAGTCATCGGGCCACCTAAACAGGTTTCACGTCGAATGTATCATAGGGTAAACGCACCAATGAATGAACGCTTAAAAGATCTTGTAAATATTAAAGTCGAATTTTAAAAGATAATATCTGTAGCTTTTTATAACGTACATATTTCAATTTCAAACACTCGAAGAATGTAATTAATTAAATTACGTAGATAAACAGGGAATTGAAAAAACACAGTATTTAAGCATTTGCTTATTTTTGTAACTTAATTTACTCGTTTTTATATGTATAATGTTCATTCACTAGTACATCCACCCTAAGAATAAACTTGCTTCGAACAAAATATTAAGAGTGCGTGGTCGCATAAAAATTTGAATATTATAAAATATTCAAACATCGCAAGAAACGCAAAGTGTTGTATAGAATTCGACGACGTTCTTTTATGCTTAGGCAGTTAGGTACTGATAGTCGGTGAAGTCCAGATCGACGATCCTCTTCTTGTAGTCGAGCATTCGGCCGACAGCGCAATCGAGGACACGTTTTATCAAGTCCCGTTTCTGCGTTTGTACCATTTGATCGTGGCAAACTATCAGTCTCTTCACCAGATTCCGATACCTACGAGCGTAATCCTGTCAAATTCCCCTGACTCGGAACGTATCAGACAACTTGCATCGTTCCGAAGTTGTCGACAATTTTAAAGGTTTCCATTCTGTACCGTAGATACGTGGGGAGTATCAGATTCAAACCATGTTCCCTGTTCTTGGTGTCTGGTTGTTCTTGTACACGTCGATCGAGCGTCAACAATTTTTCTAGATCGTTTCTTGTGATCAGCCATAGTTCGTTGTAGTAGTTATGCGACATCGATTATTAGAAACAGTTTCTGTCTTCTGTTGGATGAGGCTTATGAATTATTGTTTTTGTGCGGGAGAACGGATATAAATTTTCAGATGGTTAAAGGGCCGAAAGTTGGGTTATCCAAGGTGGATGATGGTGAATGAAATGACAGAATGAAAAAATAGCGGGAGACGGGACAATGTACAGTCGACAACCTGTTGCTTTTCTCACTCGTGCTCGATTCACGTTTCGCTTGACGATTGGGGACGAGAATGTCCATAGATGAGAGGGTAGATGTAACTTAATTTAGTCATTTTACGTGTTCTTTAACTTACAAATCGTCGCAGTTTGGAACACAATACAATCAAACTTCTACTTTATTAAAAAGAAATAGTATTATACATTTGAACATGAAGAATTAATTAAGTCTCTCGTTATGCAATAATTCTTGAGCGTAGCTATCTGTAAGAAGTGTATTTTCAAGGATATACAGACTCCTCGTATAGGGAGAAATGTTTCAGACCCTCGTAAATTCTTTTTTTTGCCCGAAGGCTTGGCAACAAAGTATCTGCCTGCCAGGTTGCACCCCCTAGGGGTGGGGATAACGCCTGGACAATATTCGTGTAGAACAAGCCAGACAATAATCGAGAGGAGTCTGTAGTCGCTAAGAATTTCGAGTTGCTAAGAAATCGCGATTAATTTTGTTTACCAGGATGCTGTGGACTTCACGATGTTTGGCGATCTTGGTGCTGACAACGCTAGCGTCGTTCACGGATGCAACAAAGGAGGATCCGACGGAGGACGGGACGATGCCCAGCGTGATCTCCACGAGCCTGCCAACGACGACGGTCCCGGACGTGAGCAGAGCCGAGGTGACGCCGATGAATTCGTCAAACGTTGTAAAAAACCCGGATAGGGAGAATGTTAAAGACTCGTCCCACGCGTCCTCGCCTTCGCCCGACACCGTTTGGGAGTGTCCAAATATTACTAAAGCAGGGGTCGAGTGTTCATTAGATACGATTTTCTTTTATGTTTCAGTAGTAGGCTTGCTAGCCCTCAGACTTGGTGGGACTTATGTAGATACTTTCTCCCTGTAGAGTCGTTCCACGCGAAATCGGACACTTTTTGGTGGAACATTTGGGATTTCGTTGACACTTGAATATGTTATAGCCTTTAGTGATATATAAACGTATCTCCAAGGATTTTGTGTCAACGTTTTTTTTTAGATAAATCATACCTGTTGAACTAAAAAACTGATCAGAATGAGCTTTACAGGTGCTTACACTAATGGCATGTCTAATAAACATTATTAGTTATGATTTATTTATTTATTTTTATACACCATATTCAAGTGTCAACAAAATCCCAAATGTTCCAGCAAAAAGTGCCTGATTTCGTGTGGAATGACCCTTTTTATATTAATTCGTCCAAACCACTGTCGAATAATATCGCGACTATTCCAATCGCTGTGCCTTCTCAAGCATATTTTTTTGTTCATTTGTAAGTGCGTTATCTTAGATTCTTATTATTTTGCCATCCTATCGAGGTCAGCGATTTTTTAGCTGCCTGCCAGTCAGGCGTGGGCGTATAGACCGCCGATGAAATACAAGTCGTACGTATTATCCGAGAGACCCATTGTATAGGGCCCCTCTTTCTCTTCTCTCTCTCTCTCGTACACACACTCACTGCTTTGCGTTCAGTGTCCCGTTACCAATTACCCCAACGAATATCCTGTCTTACAATGCGTCCTGCGCGAATCGAGTAATCCCCCTATTACGCAATTTAGGATTGACTAATTAATCTCGGGATAAACCAAGTCTGTGAACGATCTGTCGACATTAGCAATACTAACAATTCTGTAATATAACGCGAACATAATAGGATAAAAATCAACATCAAATTATCACAATGAAATAATATTAAATTTCACGTACGAAAAAATGAACAAAACATAATTAATTATAATTACTGGAGCGAAATTATTGAATTGGAATAAGAACGATATATCCCGTGCGAAAAGGGACTTACCGAAGATGATCGTGTTTTATTGCAGACTATCAGTAAACACCTGAGGTTCAGTCGTCCAGGGACCATTTCGCTTCTCGATGTAACCGTGGCAGGAATCTCCCTGTTACCGGCACGATTCCTCGAAGACGTTGCTCTTCATGGCCTGGTGGTTTCCACGGGGGAGCTGAGACGCGTCCACGAGAATGCGTTCGCCGCTCTGGCAAGACCCCTTCAAGCCCTTGGACTTCCGAATAATCTCTTAGACTCCGTTCCGACCGTTGCGTTGTCGCGCCTGGTCGGATTGGAGCGATTGGATCTGTCTCAAAACAAGCTGAAAACCTTAGAGGCCGACTCGTTCAAGGTAATCCGTCGGTTCATCGAAAAGAATAAGACTATTCACGGGTAGAGATGGGATGAAGTATATATGTATATTACAAGTAGGTTCGAATCTAACTGGATAATTTCGAACGTTTCATAGATACTTCGAAAATGGAAAGCAATACTTTTAAGTAGACTCAAACCCAGATGAAAGAGGTTCGGAAAAAGTATACTCGAACTTTGACCGAGTAGATTCGAACCTTTTATGAGTACTTCGATCAGAAGTTTCTTTGTAATTGTACTTTGTTATTAACTGAACGCCCACGGGACAGGTAGCTATAATTTCCCTCGTTCTAACAACAAACGTCGCTGTAACTGTTCTGAATAATTACGTCGAATCGGATTGGTCCCAAGGTCTTTCACGTTCTTATCGTTCGCATCAGGTAACTCACGGTTGCACGTTGCAGGGCATGTCGAACCTGACGTACTTGGACCTCTGCGACAATTTATTATCGCAATTGTCGCCGCAAGCTTTCGCCTCGTTGCCCACGTTGCGTTCCTTGAGGATGAGGGGCAATCGTTTGAGCGTCTCGGCATTGTCGGCCCTCAGGGGTCTAAAAATTTTGGAGGAACTGGATTTATCGAACAACCTGTTATTGGGTCCGATGGGCCCGAATCTTCTGCCCCAGATGCCACGACTACGGTTCCTGACCGTGTCAGAAAACGAGCTGGTGAACATTCAACAGGGGGCATTGATAGGACTGAGGAACTTGACTTACCTCTGCTTAAGTCACAATCAGGTAGGAAGTAAGATTCTCCTCTCTGTACTGACAACGAACAAGCTTTTGTATTCGTTTGTTTTTTCAGATCGACGTACTAGAGGATCATTCCTTCAAGTATCTGTCTACACTCACCAGGCTCGATCTAGCGAACAATCGCATCGTCGCGGTATCCAGCTCCTCTTTGGCTCACTTAGAAAAATTAACAACCCTGGATTTGACTCATAACTTCCTCAGATCATTAACCGCCGACTTGGTGGTGCCGCTGAAGAGTCTTCAAGATCTTCGGTTAGACGACAATGACATCACTATGGTGGGCAATGACGTGCCAACATCGAAGCTACGTCTGAAAAGACTATCCCTGGCTGATAATCCTCTGAATTGTGACTGTACACTTCTAGAATTTGCCAATTGGTTGAGCAATTCTAGCTTGAACGAGGAAGATAAATCGTCCGCGGTATGCGCCACACCGCCGGCTTTAGAAAACGGTATTCTGACACAAGTCTCTCCTGGTAGTCTTCTCTGCGGCGAACCAACGCCTCCGATCACGACCAAAGAACCGACCACCGGAGCTCAGCTGACGTTGAAAGAGTTTCACTACAATAAATCAACCGGCGTGAACCTTCTGTGGCACGTGGAGATGTGCACGGAACGTTACACATGCGATACATTGATCGTTTACGAGACGATAGGCGACAGCGAGGTTCAGACGGTTTCCAGTTCCCTCGACTGCGATTCACGGATGATGAGGGATCCTTGCTCGTTACCGGTCGCTATCCCCGCTTCTCTGAATCTGCAACCAGGTCACAAATACCGTTATTGCGTGGTGATTCTCGTACCGGGTAGCTACGACGACGTCACCTTGGGTCTGGGTTGCAGTGACGTGATCACCCTCGAAGAAACCAAGCGTGACTTGCAACAGGATCAAGAAACAACGGTCGCAGAGGTTACGGATACCAGGATAACCGGAGTACATGTTAACGTCTCCGATCAGGGATTCCTTCATGTTGATGTCAGTTTATCCGCTTCGAAGAAATTCAATTTACCTGAATGCGAATTATCCGTCGTCGTTTTCGATGCCGAGTCGGCGGTACATAAACAGAAGCTGAACTGCAGCTTAACGTTTCTGACGCTGGAGGTTTTGCTGCCTGGTCGCTACAAGGTCTGCGCCAGCCTCGACGATCTGAACGAGGAAGACGTTATCGCGAACTTCATGAACAATCGGGACCGACTTCGCTGCGTCGAGGTGCAGGGTTTCAAGCAGAACACTGAAATAATCGTTTTGGTGATTATTGGGGCCGGCTGCGCCCTTCTGGTAGCATTGATACTACTCGCTCGAAGCGTCGTGAAGAGGGTGAGACATTCCAGAATACAAACGCAGTGTTTTTTACCCGCGCAAGAATTCGAAATTACACATAAAGCGCATTACATTAAATTGCTTGCCACCACGAAAGTCTGATTCACCTGTATCGAACGTATCAAGAACTTTTATTCTGTTCAATGAGCTGCAGAAGTTTTTATTTTTGTATACAATGATACAGACCTTGTTGAGAGATTCCGATGTGTGTTGATATTTAATCGAGACATCAACAGCTTTGTAAATAATGCAGCTTATCTTTGTTGATTATTTGAAGTTCTTGAGATTGAACAGTAGTCTCTGTAGAAGTGAATGGTGTATCTGATAATGTTGCGAGGTATTGTCCCCACGAGCTACTAGTCACGAAGCCGATAATTCCGAGTAAATTCGTAAATGTCAATGCATTCTAAGGATTCGCAGAATGAAACGTAGTTGAATTGAGATACGTTCTATATGGAATTATTGGCGAAAAGTTAATAGGAGGGACAGGTAGATTATTGTAATAATCTGTTAATATACGAGGTACTCACTTTCCATATCGACGTCGTAATTTGTTTAAGTCGGTAATTTCGCTAATACATACTTCACGCATGTGTCGATTACATTGTTCTGTTTCTCGTGAATACATATGCATTTTTCACTCAATATCATGTAATGATGCGAAAAGTTAACGTGTGTGTATCACAAAATTTTCTTATTACAAGTGCCGACTAACGTTGCACGGGATTCTATCAATTTTAATTAATGTATAAAGTAAAAATTTCATTACTAACTACTATACATAAACATTTATAAACTTGTAAATATTCTAATTAATTTACGTCTTTGTTACGACTTCGCTTTAAACATTTTTTTGTTGTACTATATTACTAATCCTCGAATACATTATGTACATAGCCTTTTAAAAATCGCAGCGTATAGAAATAGTCGGCGACTTTAATGTAAAATATTACGTAATAAACTGTCTACATAGAAAATCTTTGTTGATCATAAGCGTACGTGAAACTTTATTACTTTAATAAAGTGCAAGAAATTACGTATACACATATTCGATTATTTTAACGAATTCATTAGCTTCCTTTATTGCCTATGATTGAAATAAAGATCTGAAAAACTAAATAATACGGAATAAAAGTATACTGCATAGATATTTGTATTAGGTTTTGATATACATATGTAATGGCTTATCTTACATAATCTGATATGTATCTTGAGTTGAGCAAGTAGTTAGTTACAGTTTACTACGCCTGATGACGCTGATACACACGTGATTTTCGGAATCAAAACTTGAATTGTTCATGCCAATTGTGTCTTTTACCATTTTTGTATCGTGTCGATTAGTATGTTTTTTCTCGTTTAATAATTTCAGTAAATTACAATACTGTTATTATTTATTATTTATATATAATAGTAACAAATAGTACAATCGTTATCGCTAATTGAGATCCAATGACATCGACACCGAGGATGGACAAGACCCAGAAACTTGAAATATTGCGAAATGCAATAAAAAGTTATCCAGATTTTCCTCAACCAGGAATCGAATTTCGGTGATTACCTTATTAAATGTTTATTCAGTTAATTATTCAAGTCATATGTGAACGATCGATCTCTAACCATTTCCAACATCATCATTCAGAGAGGTACAGGAACTGCTAAAAAGATTACGTTTCAAGAAATTAATTATTTTCAGAGATATATTCGGCGTATTCCGCGATGTAGTAGCATTGAGAGCAATGAAAGACTTGATAGTGGAGCATGTTTTATTCCTTGAAGTTGATTTGGTTGTAGGTCTGGATTCCAGAGGTTTCCTCTTTGGACCTACCATTTCTTTGGAACTGGGAAAGCCTTTCTTACCCATTAGAAAAAAAGGGAAACTCCCAGGGAAAGTTTCACAGAAGAGTTTTACTCTCGAATATGGAGAGGTCGGGTCATATTATTTGAATTTTCATTTATATTTTTATATTCTTAATATTATTTATAGTATTATTTAAAGGCATCTTTTGTGTAGGCTACATTTGAAATTCAAGTGGAAAACATAACTAAAGGTACACGTGTGCTAATCGTGGATGATTTATTAGCAACAGGAGGTAAGATGAAAGTGATAAATGAAACAAAATTCTTTAATATTGTAAAAAAATGGATTTGACAAAGCATACTTTATTAATACGACTACAGGTACAATGGCTGCTGCAGTAGAATTGTTACAATCAACTGGTGCTGAAGTAGTTGAATGTTTAGTAATAATAGAGTTAAATGGATTGAAGGGAAGAGATAAACTGGGTGTACCAACTCATTCATTTATTCAATATGACTAGCCATTCCTTTGAAATAATGTAAAAATGCACAATTTCAAATGTAAAAGTATTACAATATACTCAATGTTGCTTACACTTTTACAACAAGATATTTATACATAAAGAAATCAATATTTTTGTGAAGTATACATATATGTATATATAAAATAAGATTTTATAATCTCATGTACAAAGATACTTTATAATATTTACAAATTGTAAAAATATGATATAAAAATTGTATCATAAATTTACACTGATTAATACTGTGTATTCGTTCCTGCTTCATTCTACTTCAGAAATTACTACAAAAAGACGTTTTACGTATTATCACCTAATACAGAAAAATCATCAAGTACATTCTACTCTTGATTTTTGAGATCTTATAGAATTCAAAAGACTGTGTACTTCATATTCCAGTTTATCTACATTTTGTTGTAGTTGTTTATAATGTTTTGATTTGTCATTTCTAGAATCTAGAATGTCCTCATCACTCGAATCATCTATGTTTACTTCTGGAATATCATGAACGTGTTGCATTTCCGGTTTGTGTGTTGTTGCTCTTCCAAGTCTCCAGTCCACATCAGACAACTGTTCTTTGATACATCTTTCTACTTCTAAACAGCATAAAGTAGTCTTTACAATTGATGAACAATCATCGTATATGTAAGATCTTACCATTCAGTCTTTCTTGATGAATTTGATTCATAAATGCTTTAGCTTCATGTTTCAATCTTTTTTCTTCTGCGACTTTCATGGTCTTATGATTATGTTCCCGCACGGACCGTTCCGTTTCTTTCAGTTTTTCCAATTCCAAAACAGATACTTCATCGGTCAGGAATTTTGGAAAATCATTTAACAAAAATGGTAGATATGGTCCTTTGGTGGGCAATGGAATTAACTCATTTCTTTAATGAAAGAAGACATTTTTATACAATACATAAGAATAAGAAGAATAAGTTTCTCTTACCTAAGATAGTGACTAGGATGTGATCTCAGTGGTGTTTCTTTATCAAGTCTTTGAGCAACTTTAAGCAATTCCTTTGCAGTAATATGGCCTTGACTACTATAGTACCGTTTAAAACGTTCGGCAGAATGCAATGAGGAAATTATAATTTCACGAGAACAAATGCTGTACGCAACAACACTCGTTAAAAGGAGCAATGGATTTTTATAAGATATTAAATGGTCCCATAAAATTAGCCATTCGGGACCACATAAGACTTCGCTCATTACAGTTTTTAAAAGTGGCCATGCATATTCACTGGATGTTATTCCTCTTTCACAGAAAACATTTAACAAGGCTGGATCAGCTTGTAGGAGGATATTTTCTATTATACCTAACACATTTAAAGGTGGCAAAGGATAATATTCAAACCATTTTTGGCAATAATTTAATAATATACTTATAATAAGTTCAAAGCCTAGGAGGGGATCCTTCTATAATAAAAATGATCAAGTTGTAATAAAAGCTAAATGTACCATCTTTTGTACCATTACTAAAATCAAGAAATTCATTACCTGGAAGACCATAAGAAATGGAAAAACAAGGTGTGGTAAAAACGAACATTGAGACAATAAGGGACACCACTGTATCAAGCAATTCATTGTTGTCATCAACATTATTTTTTTACTTCTGTTTGCTAATGGGTAATCTTTTAAAAGGTCTGAAGTAACACGTACATTTATGACTTTGTTAGCTAGTGCACAGTATGCACTCCTATTGCCTGGTAACTCTAAAATAGTTGACCATATCAGTGCACGATATTTTTCCGGATATTCCTCGAACTCTTTCAAGATGGGTATCAGTCTTTGCAAATGCAATTCTTGTTTCATGAGTTGTCTGACGCATTGCAAATGATCAGGTATTCCATGTGCGACTGGTCTACACGGTTCATTTAACTTCTTTACGGGTTCACATTTTTCCATGAATAATTTTTCAACTAACATTAACTTTAGATGTCCTTCAAGTTCTACTATTGCTATATATCTGCCAGTTATAGAGACTACAATCTTTTTTACAGGCTTGATAGGTTGCAGAGTATGAATAATACAAGCTTGATTCAGATCAAAAATATAAAGAGAGCAATTAGATGAAATGCATACCAATGTGTTATTTGCTCCACCATCCAGAGGCGATGGTACAAGTGACAACTGCTTCACTCCAATAATGTTGTCTGGTAAATGAAAAGTTTTCAGTAAATTCCATTCGCATGTATTCAGTATAACAATCTTATTTTGGATACCAGTCATGATCATTGCTCTTCCATTTTGAGTAAAAATAAAATTCTTAATGTTCCTAATACCAAATGTTTTTGCATCTATTTTAACGTCATTTTTCAACTGTTTAAAGTTCCATGCTTGTAAAGTATCATTATGGTATAAAACAACAATGTGTCCCTGGTTTGAGAAGCTTGCCTTCTTTATTGCAGCATTTTTTGCATTGACTCTTAACTGCTGACCCATACTACAGGAACGTAGACACCATATTATGACCTCTTTTCGTGAACATGTTAAACAATATTCTTTATGAAAAGAGACATGCATAGGTGGTAATTTATGAGCAGTCAATAAACAGAATTGGCTAATGTTTGCATTTATCCCTACAATTTTTATATCAGCTGTAGCAAGGCCAATTAATATTTCAAATTTATTTATAGGATTAAATGCCACAAATGTTGCTTGTCCAATGTTTCCTAACTTCCGATAGGATGGAGAATTATTTAGGTCCACATAATATAAATACCCTGCTGTATCTACTGCAACAAGATGTTCTTCATGGCAATCGAATGCCATGTGTAGAAAGTTAATTCTGCTGGAACACTGTGTTCTATGAATAATTTCTGGTTCAAGTTCAAAAGCATCATTAACTTTTCTCAAGTTCTGCCACGTGTTTTTATACATTATACTCGCTCGTATAGAACAAGCAAGCCAACTTTATTCAAATACTTTTTTCTTGTATATACGTATCTCCATTAATATAAATCCGTCCTAGGTTACGTTTAAATTCAGAAACGTCAAACGTGACATTGTTTACGACATTCAGATCTTATTCCGTTCGAATCTGTGCGGAAAATCATTATTTTTTTTTGACTGGTGGCGCCATCCGTGGCGAATCGCTGAAACTGCTAGCGTAAAATTGATTAGTAGTTTCAGCGATTCGCCACGGATGGCGCCACCGGTCAAAAAATAATGATATTCCGCAATTAAATGCGATTTTAACAGTGTTCTGGTTGTTTATTGTTATTTTCAATGAGAGGAGATTAATCTACGTTCTTTCAGCTTCAATCTGAATGCTTGATCAAGACGTAACCTGTCCATATAACCTTGGAAGAGCTATTCAAAGTGAACTAACCCGGATACGCATAACGCGATACAGTGTCAACCGTTGCAAACAAACGCGATTTTAACAATGTTCTTGTAATTATTAGTGTCCAGCCGTTAGAGAATAGTAATCTACGTTCTTTAAGCGTTGTATCTAATGCAAAACGAAGAAGAATCATGCCCGTTTAGTTAAACTAAACTTTCTTTCCCATATAAATTATAAATATGTAGATGTTAATGAAAGCGATGTATATATTCTCCTACATGCAGATTTGATAAACTATTTATGAAACTACATCTATTCTGAATTTATCTGTTACAAATATACAAATGTAAGGCAAGATATAAAAACGAATAAAACAAGAACATGTAAAAAGTAACATTAATAAAAATGTCCATTAACGATGCATTTAGAATAAATTGTCTCGTAGTTAAGTGAAAAAATATATACTTTTCACATATATATTACTTTTATATGTGGAACATTTTGTATTTATTCATGTTCCTTGAATTATGTTCCATTTCAATTCAAGCCAATTCAAGAATTGAATTTCAGGTGTCTCAGTATGTCATTAGCCAGCACGAGGAATAGAGTCTAGTTATTTCGGATTCTGTGGTTGTTTGCAGAGATCAGCAGAGATGATGGTAGTTGATTTCGTATCAATTACAGCGTTCTAAACCATTCTAAACATATTTTTGCAGTGTATATACAAATATTACGTATGATTGTTATGTGGATATGATTTTTTAAGTTGACTTTTTACTGTAATTGTGATTTGTACGGTGATTCGATCGTTTCAAAATGGTAATTTCCATTCTTTATTTATATCTTTTGATTGTATTCCATCTTAATGCAAAATAGTCGTGCAGGTTATAAATATTGTAAGTTACAATATTGCTAAAAAATATCAGAATTTCCTACACAAGTTAAATGATTCGCTTTCAGTTTTGAGTGGTGCTCTTTTAGCTAGAGAATAAATATTGAGGTTTTAATTTTCGATATTTGTACAATTCATTAAGAATGATTAACTTTTAGACATTCTCTTTTTAGTACAGTACGTATCAACTTGTAGGTTTATAGTAAAATTGTTTTTGCAGTCGGTTGCTGAATTCCTGAAGGGTTTGCCTTCACATAACGAAAATAATTTTGCCAATTTTCATACGGACAATGGAAATAGAACTTGTGTTAAAAAACCTTCTGTTTACCTCCCTACAAAAGATCATCCTTCTGAACAAAGTAAGCTTGAAATGTGTTATAAGTTAAAATGATAATCATTTGTGATTATTGCTATTGTTTACAGTTATAGTTACTGAAAAAACAACCATATTGTTAAGGTACCTCCACCAGCAATGGGACAAAAAGGTATAAATTATATATTTATAAAAGCTATTGTTCTTAATAAGTGATATCTCATAATTTATTTCCAAATGAAATGTTTTAGAACGCAGACAGGAAACGAGATTTTTTATCTGCTAATGGTGACTCTGAAGATGATTCTGCAACAGTTCGTAACAAAAGGCCACGTCTTGATGGTAATAATATTCTTTAAAATGTATTGCACAATTTTGGTTTCCACTATTCAATGAAGTACATTTTTATGTGATCAAGATAAACCATATAAACAGCAACATGGGACAAGCACTGGTCTTAAATGTTACAAACATATCTATGTGTTATAGAAGGTTCTTTCAAAACGTTATTTGTAGGCTTTGAGTATGTAATTTAGATACAAATTAAATGTTGTATGAAACATTAACCATGTGAAATATGAAAGGAACATTTTCAAATAATATTTCTTTAGGTATGTAAAATTGCTGCAATGGAAGTAAGATTAATTATTATGTTGAATTTGTAAGATCCGTTTTGTATTGTACTACGTGTCTGAAATCGTTTTAGTGAGTTAGTACCTAGTACATTGAGTACATTATGTTACAAGGCACAATTTGTATAAGTAATCGCGTTCATTATTGCTACGTTTAATGTCATTCTTTCATTTCTATATTGTCAACAATTTAAAATCAGCAAAAGTGTAATTGAAGTAATATAATTACATTATTCTGCAGGGAGTAAGGATTAATGTTGTATTAGTTTAAAATAAGTATGTGTTGGAGCATTTATGGTGAAGTAATTTTGTAAAATTGGTTTACATTTTACAATATTCCTTCACACCTGTGTTACATATGATTAGTTGTAAGTTCTTGATGTATGTTTCACATACAAAAAAATCTGTGTAACATAGTGCGTTCTATTATTGTAAGAATTTCAATTTACTGGCTACTCTATACCTTTTTGACTATTGTAAAACATTGCAGACTCAAAGATGTCTGAAAAATTGTATTTCTGGTCATAGAGTATCTCAGGATATATGTTAATTCTCTGGAAACAAATGTTACCCTTACTAAAAATAACTATTTCGTATTTTTGATAATAATTCCCTTATATTCTGACAGAAGAATTTTTCTAAATTATAGGTCATTAAACAGGGAAATAATTAGACAATTGTAGTTTTCGAACTGAGTATGTAATTATCATAATCTGCATTGCAATAAATCCTGTATAAAGTACAATAAAGAGTTAATTAATGTAAACTCTTGTATTTCTGTTCATTTTGTAATTTATTACTTAGAAAATTATCTATGTTCCACCGCATGATATTACAAATACTGTACGTAATCAAACATGTAGGTACGTTTTATTTCTTTCTGGGGATCGTCTCACGTTTTGCTGATATCTCTACCACTGTTCTGTGTTCCTAATACGAACCAAGAACTCATAAATTACTTTAAAAAGTTGGTAGTTAACTGTTTCTCTGTCTTGCTCTCGTAATTCGCTATTCTTTTTTGTACAGAACTTGCACTGGCATCTGCACTCTTAATAGATACCAGGAGCTCATAAAATAATTTTAAAGTTGGTGGCACGATTGTTTGCTTCCTTATTTCCACATGCGCTCTTCTGTTCTACAGAACTCTAGTATCATTCTGTGTTCCTAATACAAGAGGCTGATTTACGTCGAAAATATTTAAAAGTAGACTCACATAAAAAGGACTTCGTGTAGAGAAGCGAATGTAGTTGAAATCTATCAAAAATTTTGTTTATTACTATGCTGAACCATTGATTAAGTGTATAATTTTAAGATGTTATCTATAATACAATTGATAACTATTTATAATTTTTTTAACGATTACAGAAATATGTCTATTCGATTTTCAACGGTGCCCGCCTCAGCGTACTTACACCATCAGCTCGTCCAAGTCGCTCAAACCGAATGCAGTGTTTGTGTTTAAATTTCATGATTCGATGCGTTAGTTTTTCATGTAGAAATTGCTTAATTCATTTATAGGCAGGATTATAATGATAAAAATTTATCACTTATTGGCGCGTATCAGTCTTTGACTTGTGTCAAGATTGTAAGATAACATTTCTATACGCAGTGGGAGTAATGACACCTTCCAGAGATATGCTTTGATGTCTAGTATATTTATGCTCGGTGGTTGTGACATAACTGCAACATAACCAAGAAAAAGTTCTGGAGAAAAATATTTACTGTTTATGAAGTGATGTGACATGTCCTTAAACTGTGATAAAAGACTCAATGGATATTTCCACTTGAGATGGAGCACCTTCCAAATAGAGAATATATTATGGTAGCTCCTGGAATAAACGCTGTAGCAGTGCTTCTAAATATAGGATTTATTTTTAGGTTGGAGCTAGCCATAGTTTGAATCAAGAATCTGATCTAAAGCTGTATTCCTAGGAGTTTCTAATAGGTGTGAAACATATCTATTCCTAGCTGACACCTATTACCTTCTTCTCACTTTTTATTAATATTATTCCTATGTTATTTCCATACAAAGTTCATCCTGACTATTAAGCTTTTGATATCTTGTACTTGGCATAAGAAAATTCTATTTCTTGTGTGCTTTATGCGTGTCAAATAACTTAAATATTGTTGTAAGTATTAAGAATGCAATTAGAACAATGATAAAGGACAATTATTTTTGCAGTGACAAACATGGCAAATGACTTAACAATGAGAGGTAAAGATAAACTGCAAGAAATTAGTATGAAATTAGAGCAGAGTCACTTGGTTTATCTACAAACAGACGACAGTCCTTTAAAGTTACAACAGCGTCACAAATTAGAAGGTAGATTTGTACCCACATTTATCTCGTATAATTTAGTGATTCATTATTTACAAACTATACGTATAACTTTAATCGTATATTTATTTTAGGTTTTATTAAAGAATATCTTTGCCTTGTTCCAAATGAGAATAAATATGTATTTCAAGAAACTGCAGATATATTGCATAGATCTGCAGCCTCTCTACAAGACTTCAGTGGGTATAGAGCTGCAACTGCCTGGAGTGCTATTTCTTTATACGCTGCCAATCTTTTGGCTCAGCCTTGGAGAAAAGAATATAGAACATTAAGGGTTAATAACAGTAACAGTTTTTACATGATTCTCTGATAGTGTAGAAGATTATAACTAACTTATTTCCTTTGTATGTTAGACTTACAGCGGATATTATAAACATGAAGTAGAAGCAAATTTAATAGGAGCCGAATTAATGTTTGAACAAATGGGATATAAACACACAGGGTTGGGAGTCCTTACTTTGGAGGGTCCTATAGATCCCGACAAAGTATCTAATGTGAGCAGGGACGCGATAGTAGCCTTTGTTGAGTGTCAGGTAATAGTTTTCTAATTGTCAACATTTGTAAGATTTATCGTAACTAAAGAACTTTATTATTTTCAATGTAGATATTGAAGCAAATATGGGAGAATGTTTCTCAAAACTGTACCGTTTCTTGGTTGGAAGTGTTAGAGTTCAGGGAAAACCATGTTGGGACGCCAGAGCAAGCTATCAGAGCACTGAACTATCGTTTCCTCGAGAAGATGCGTCAGAACCGCACAAAAGCAGAGAATTATAGGGACTATCATTATCCGCCGACCACATGCATAGATGCAGCAGCACCGTCGGTTCCTTATCACATAATGCCTCCGAATTATAATATGCCTATGTCTGCTTGTCAAACAGACTACAACAGATACATTGAAGACACGAACGGCATACCTAGATACTTTCCGCCAACGGATCACGGCTTTATGAACCGATGCAGTGCTTACGGATGTTTGCCGCATGCTAACAAATATTTCAGCTGTGTCCACTCGAATCCATATTACACTACAATGCCAGCATACTCAAGAGTGCCTACGGGTAGATTAATCGAGCTGGACGTGCCTGTGTCGGTTGCTAATTACGATAAACTTCACAACCGGAAATCGTCTCACCGAATACCAGACTTGGACGAAGTAGACTATTATAGGAAACAGTCCAGCGATGGAGACCATTACGATTATGGGAAAGTTGATAAAAGATCGAAAGCAGCTGTCGATAGAAATAATTATGATTCTTGGGACTTTGTATACAGAAACCTAGAAAGTTTAGGATACACCAAGGATCTTGGTGATCGAGAGGATATCCTACACAAACGAGATGGCGACTCTAAAATTCACAAGCAGAAGTCGTTCAGGCAAAATGACAACGACGAAAACCACAGTGGGTATCGATTTGAAAAGAAGAGAAGTGGACGAACCGAAGTGAATGACGTTGATTCGTCTATAACAAACGGTCGACATCATTATCACGATACGCTACCATTTAAGAAGAAGTCTTCTTCTTTCGATTTAACCGATTCGAATAAGTGTCACGCTGATTCAACTTCCGAGAGTCACTTGTCTTCGCACAATAAGGATAAAAAGCATAGCAGTCAGACGCTTCCGATTCAACGGTCTCATCGATCCTCCGATCAGATTGCGAAAATTGCAGATACGATAAAAAGTTTTGAATTATCTCATTCTCAGAAGGAATATGGCGTGAAAGACGAGCATAAATGGAACTGTGCTACTTGTACGTATCTTAACTCATTGTCTAAAGAAATTTGTGAAATGTGCGGAAAATCTAGACATAAAGGGAATGAGGATAAACCTTTAGCCAGCGGTGGAAAAGAGTGTCCGCAATGTACGTTAGTAAATGAGAAGAATGTCTCAATCTGTGATGTCTGTGGTACCAGTTTAAAAGATTCTCCTACTTACATTTAGATAAATTATTCTGATTAAGTATCCTTTATTCGTATTCCATTTATTTGAAGTAAAGAGAAATGGTAAGTACATTGCCTGGATACATTGTGCTTTCTTGATACAAATACACGTGAGGTGTTTAAGAAAAAATGTTAGTACTTATGATGCTTGTAGCAGTTCGAATAAGTGATAACAATTTTTTTTGATCATTTTATCCAAGGAAAATTAAAAAAAAAAGTATTACCGTATGAATCGAATTTAAAATGTGTGAGAACTATATATAATGGAGATATAAAATTATTTATTTAAAGGCGTTCGAATATAGTAGATTTGTGATATGGATGTGTTAGTATTCGTGGTAATATATCGTGGTGGCCTATTACTTGTTTAAAAAGAGGATAAAAATGGGCATGTGCGAATACCATTTTACGTCGAATCAAATCAAACCAAAATTTCAGCTTTTGGGTACTTTGAATGAAATATATTTCGTAAACAAGTTGTAATGAAATTGAGAGTCTAGTTAACTACATAATTTTAATAGAATAATTCGCAGTTGTTGCTGAAGCTTTAATAAGAGATTTGATTCGATGATATAGATAGTATTTAAACATATTCGCGTGTTTACCTAATGATAATGAATGAATAAAGAATTATTGATTATATTTGATAGCCTAAATAGTTTATAATGCTGGGAGTTATATGAGAACTATTTATTCTACGGCGTCTGTATTTTATCCATTATTAAGAACTCAGAAAAATTTCGATTTTAGAGAAAAACGTATATTGAATATATTGGAATGTTATTTAGAATGAAACATTCTTAGTCTGTAATGTTATGATATACATATACACTTTGTAAGTTCATGTAAGTCGTTATGGTTTCTCTTTCTTTTTTTCGGAAATTTAATAGAATTTTATATCATCTTCCTTTCCTATTAATTTTGGTATTATTAAAAAGTAGCAGGATATTAATAGTGGTCGTATTATTTGATTATTAAACAATCATGGAAAAGTGTATACTGTTATTTCATTAGAGACAGTATTTAAAATCATTCTTTACGTACCAATCTATATATGTAATGTTGATCATAAAATCTGAAGGAGCTCGATTGAAAGCTGTATATTGCGAATATAAAAAGAAAAACACTAATTTGCCATGTCAAATCAATTTGTGTGTTTATTGTTTTAATATTTAATAATACAATACTCGTGTACCTATACATAAGAAATTTAAACGGTATAATTATTGATAGACTGTACAGTATCCAAATTAATATAAGTATCATTTAAAAGTAAAATGTCCGCTGGTATTTATGTGAATCAAGTTCTCAATTTAAAAGCTGTAACAAATAATTGTTTATTCCGTAAAACAATTGGTAGAAAATACTTTTTTATTTGTTTATACATTCCCAGCACATTATTTGATCCGTTGATAATTAATTTAAGCACGATTTTCCAAAATTTTCGTGTAACTTAGAGATTTACTTTAGATAACACTACATATTGTTATCAATACGTAGTTACGTACTCATATTTCGGCGAATTTATCACGAAGAGTGCTTTCTCAGTGCATGAATAGTTTTACATTTAAGGTTTTATTAGTTTATGAGTACAAAATTTGTTTTATTGCTAACAACAAATTTTAATACGTTCATTAAGCACGTATAACTATAGAACTTCAAATTTGAAAGAACAATAAAATTTCTAATGAAACATGTTCCCTTTGTACTTCAAATTTATAGACTTTTGTCGTAGAATGACTTTACTAAAAACTACTTTTAACATTACAGAAGTCTGATATTTTAAATATAATAGAAAAAAGCAGCTCATATTTTTTCATTGATCGCGCAGAAAAAGTAAGCGATTTGTGTAATATAAATCTTATAATGATATATGTATGCTGTAATATATTGCAAACTATGTGTACATTGTAATATATTCTATTATGTACAAATAATAAATAACATTTAATATACATTACGAGAAAAATGTTTCTTTAATTATGTTGTACTTTAAACAATATTTTTCAAGGTTCCAGATATAAAATATTAATATCACAATTAACATTACAATAAATATTCATTACTTACTTATAGGATGACATATTATATAGCAAAATAAAGTCTAAAAATGTATCAAATGCTAATCACGTGTATTCTTTTCCAGTTTCTGTAATATCTTAACTGCTGCTTGATGTATTTTTTGGTCCAACTTATCTGTAAGCAACAATAAAAATTCTAAGAATCTTAAAATTGGTGTAACAAATAGAAATAACTAATGGTACTTACAAATCTTATGCTTTCCCTGTATAGGAAATTGAATTGGCAATGTATGAAAATTTTCACAAATAAATACGAATGGGCTATCACTTTCTCCATTTGGATAAACGTTTCTATATTCTTCTTGAGGTAGAACATCAGTTACCGTTACACAGCCTAATAAACAACTCGTTGGATAACTTTGAGGAAACTGAATTTTTTCTAAAAATTTAACTATTGGTAATAATGGATAATTACAACATTGGAATAATTAAAGTGTACTAACCATCTTTCAAAGAGCGATAGAAGTGTTCCATAGTCAAAATATCGTCCGTAGTTGGGGATTTAGATGTTGCAGCGATCCACAGTCTTCCTCTGTGCGAAGTGTACCACACTCGCCCTTCATGCCTAAGGAAATAAATGGAACATTAAAATGGGATTCTATGCTTTTATATATTTTGAAAGGTACATTGTATTATTTCTCACATTTTTATCCCAGCTACCAATAAAGATGCATAAGGCTGATGCATGCTCAAACATACTCCTGCATCAGACATCTCTAAGTATTCTTTGTCTTGAAGAATAGTTTTCATTTTGATTGGAACAGTAGTTTTCAACGCACGTGGTTTAGTCTCGTTTGATTCAATATACTGTAAAAATACATTTTAATTACCTGGTAATAATATTAAGAATATATATGCGTGTACTATATTTGTTAATAATATTCTTACAATTGGACGATCAAATTCTATATCTGGACATATATTAGAACTTTTACATTCATTAAAGCCCAGTGATTCAAGATTGTCTATAAACTGTTCCTCATTAAACTCGTCATAATCATTCACTAATTTTTCTTCAACTACTTGTCTACCTGTAAAGTCAAATGTTACATTGACTTTTTTATTCAAACGGGACATATATTTTTTTGCATTTTTTTCTTCTTCAAGTTTCTGCAGATGTTCTCGTTGTTTAGCTGGTAACCAAATATTACTCGTCTGATAGTAGTCACATTCATCATCAATTACTTTTGTACCCTGTGTACTGCAACATAATACAATTAATTACTGTCTTTTTTCAAAATGAGAAGTACTACATTAATACACACCCAATTCGATCATATTCAAGAAGTTTATCTCTTTGTTGAAAGGAATCTTCTGTACTTTTAACAGATTTTTGATTCATTAACTTATGAAGTAATTGATTAGCTGATTTCTTATTGCTAGAAAGGATTATCTGGTCTTTTGGAGAACATACAAGCTGCCCACAGAAGAAACAAGGGCCTGCTCCTTCTTGCGTACAAACTATTCTACCGCAGTTGAGGCAATTATTAATCAAAGAATGTTCCTGTGCTTCACAGTTACATTTGTGCCTGCCTAATACAATGTTTCTATATTAGCTTCTTACCAACTTTATTATTACTGCTTTCTGAAAATACCTTTCAGGAGAATTGCTGTCTTGTCTTTGCCTTCTTGTGATAATAAATTGGTATACTTAGTTTTCTTGTGTTCTACTTTCTCTGTATGAATATTTTCTTGAGGCTAAAGAAATAATACTTAATCACTTTAAGATTCAAAAGGTTAAATTGGAATTTTAAAGTACCTGTTTATATATTTCGTCCTTCTTGGGTTTCTTGTTTCTTTTCTTCATTTTCGTGTTTGTGTTATAATCATGTTCAATGTCTGTGTCCTTTGATTTTTGATATCCCTGATTACTGTTACATGCTGAAACTGAAAAATGAAATTATTACAACTACAAATGATTACTGTATCTTACATTAATTAAATTTATAAACCTTGTCGTTTTTTTAATTCTGCAATAAATTGCATGTGTTTAACATCATTGCGATCTAGTAGACACATTAGGTATTCGTCTAGCTCTTTTTCATCTCGTATTTTCATAATATATCTGAAAACACACGGTCAAATAATAGCAATTTATTTCTTTTATTATATTCTGACTGATTTTCTCACTTTACTAAATCCACTAATTCTCCGGAAACATTAAAATTTAAGAATTTGGCTAGATTTTCGTGTATCCATCCTTCCATCTTCGTTGAAGTATCGAAATAATGCCTTTGAAGGAAAAACTGTTAAGACGATTGTTCCAAAGCAACAATACGACTTTCTTATTACGTTATTATACAAGTAACAATTAATTGAGTCCTCTTTGTAAATACTAATTTAACATATGAATATCGTGGTGCAATCAAATGTTTCCGAAATACATATAAATTTGTCGAAATTACCTGTAACGTCATCTACGGTAAATGATCCAAGCTATTAGCCAATTAGTACCGTAGTCTCACCATGAGATGTCAATACTATGACCTTAAAAAGAAATATAAACGTACAATTACATATGTAATATTTCCCAAGTACAGAAATATTATACTTGCACAATGCGCTCGTTCTTCTGGAATAGTACTAGGGAATGAGCTTAAGTTTAAAATTATTAGAAAAAAATTAATATATTATCCTTATAGACTAGTCAGATTTTGGTTTCAAATACATCAGAGCTTTTTCAGGCCACTCAAATTGAATAAAAAAGCTGTTTGCCGCTATCTAGCGACGAGGATGTAGTACTAATTGGTTAGAAACTTGAGGAGTTTGCCGTAGGTGGTGTTGTACGGTTATCTGATCACATTTACCAATACGCTTTGTAAAATTAAATATGTACGTACTTACTCCTTTTAAATGCCACATATAACAATTTAAATGTGTAATATCAATCCAGAAAGGTTCCAAACAATCTGATGCCATTGGAGTGCTGTGATTTTCATAAAGGTTTACATGTATAAAGTCTTTATATAGATACCACGGCACAAAAGAAAATTATCATCTCACTTAGTGATTCTTGGGACGTCAGGGGAAGCTTACTCGACTTTTCAGTGACTTCAATTGGTCTGCTCCTTGAATGAAAATGTAGATAGTTTGCAAATCTCGGGAAAACTGTTACTAGAATTATGTTGTTGGTAACGTGCAGTTTATTTAACATCTTTGAAAATACAGTATCCTAAAAAGACAGAGACAAGATCAACTTGGGCTGTAACTGGATAAGTCTTAAAAGTAATTACAGTTTTACACATAAAGAATGAAATGTGCGAGGTACAATTAATTGAACTGAAACTCTACAGAATACATGTTTACAATATTTCCAAAGATTTTTTATATTTTAACAAATTATGATTCTCTGAGTTAATGCTGGGTAGTAGTGACATCTGTAGGGAGATCACGTAGTTATATTTAAATTTGAACTAGGAATAGCCGTTGATGGAATGAAAGGAGAAAATGTTCACTGTGAACATTGTGGAGACTCACATGGCATAGAAAACAATTGTTTGATATTAAAGCATAATTTATTTATATTTTTATTAGTAATATACGTACATAGGAATTAAAGGAAATAACTATAGTAATCATTCAAGTGGCCAAGACAATTCTTCATTTTATGACATGCTTTCTATACATGGTAAGTTTCAAAGAATAAGTGTATTAATTTGCTACGATGAGCTGTGATCCACGTTTCCAGTTAAAGCTGCATTTTTCTAGGTGCTCGAGCCGCGGCGGTTAAAAAATTTGCGTAGGATAGTGCGAGGCCTTCGGAACGTTTAACAAACGGATCTTCCTGCAGTTAAATTTGCATACTCAGTCGTTCGTACGTGTCGACAGAGTCACGTATTCGTGCATGGAGAAGTCGGGTCTCGATTTCTGCCGGTGTTACATAACAATTACTGCACTGCGAGCAACATCATTGTCGCATTTCATGCGTCCATTATCATGCATCCACGTGTTCGGTATTTTCATCCCACGAGCGTATAGTGGGTACTTTTTCTCTGTTATTATGAATTTTCATACCTATCATGAGTGAAACATGTCCAAATTTTTGGACATTGTAAATAAGTAAACTAAATGATGTTCTTTTCGAATTTCCGGTACCAGAGATGAAAGCGTAAATCTGATCACGTAGATTCATCAAGTGTAACATCTTTTGGCTGTATACTCTCTTGAAAAATTTTTTCGTACAAAGCGTTCGACGAACACTATACAGTACGAATAGTTCAGGCTATTTATAATTGATTTTCCTCTTCGTTAAATATCTGATTGGTTCCGAGGCGATTGCATTTCTCGCACTGTGAGTTAATAAGTCTAAGTCTAAAGGAATAACATTATTTCCTGTCTGTAATCGCTTCATTAACTATGTGCTGCGACGCGGTGTTTAGTTAAAGAATTCTCTTTTCGCTTCTTTAAAGTGTTTAGATGTTATAACAGAATCTGTACGCGCTCGCTGTGAACACCGTGTCGCCTTAATTAGCAACGTTAGCCAGCTCATTTAGAACGGTTTAACGTTGCCTGAAAGCTCGGCTTCGTTTTCTGAAACTCGCCTTGACACGGTCTATGTCTTCGACGACAGGAGAAATTGTGCATCGGTGCAGCTGTATGCACTTGAGTCAAGACGATGCAAATAGGTCGCTTCGCGAATTGTTCCATTAAGATGGTTCGCGATACATGGTAATTCAATTTCAAAGAGGGTTCGCAAGAGATACGTTGCGATGGTGGATCGAATTCGTTGGTCGTTGTCATAATCTGTTTAAATACTTCTGAAATGCCTTCCTTCTAGTTCGGAGTGTGATCATTAATGTTTGCTGGAAAATCATGTAAAAGATTGACGATAACCGTTATTTGTCCTAGATCGTGCCATAAACATCTGAGAAAAACTGAAGATGACCTTGAAATGCCAACATCCAACGGCAGGAAATGATTCTACTTGACGAAGTAGGGAAATTGGACGAAGGACGAAGGATAGAGGACGGACAAACGGCATCGATTAAATTTGTCAACACGTTATTAGGTCGATTCCCACGTTAGTACCATAAAGGGTTCCTGTACAATGAACTTTCTATATGATTCCGCATCGCGATCATTTCATAATTACTTTCAATCGACGATTTCATTGGGTCGTATACTGTTGAAAGGTATCTTCCATTATTCACGCGTACAATGCACGAATTATACTATAATAAAGTCTGAATGATTTCAACAGATTCATGGTTCCTTCTGCGCCCTCTTCGGGTCTCAGGGTCAGTGGTTCGGCATGCGCAAATTCGTTTTACTGTGCCTACGTATTCGGCGACACAGAAGCTGTAAGTACCTCTATTCAGAAGGAACACGTATAAGTTTAAAGGCGATTTCCAACTGGTAACTACGAATCCCCGTTTATCGTGATATTTTCTCGATGGGATTGCGTAATACATTTTTTCGCGACTTGTTACTATTTATCTGCAATCTAGTTATCGTAAACATTATGCCAGTGAGAGCAAACGCAGGTCGATAACACCTATCTTATCAGTTTTATTAGATACGATCGGCGGAGAATTCTATCGAGATAAAGCGTAGGAATAAAACTTGTACCCGACGTGTAGAAATCGTAAGTTGGGAGTTGTATTCTTCCTTCTTCGTTCGTGGTGAATCGTCGATTAAAAATAATTATGACGACGCGCCGTCATCGTCGGCCGATCGTTACTTTCCAAAATCATTTCGGCGAGACGAAGATGTAGCTAAAGAAAGGAAAAGAAAGGAACAGGAGAAAGAAGAGTTGATTCTTTTTTTTTGGAAAGTTAGGCGTCGCTTGTGAGGAAACTTTTTCTGCCGAGGTAACGCTCTTGTATGGAAATTCGAGAACGCGATAAAGAAAACTTTGCATTCATTATGCAAAATTCGCGAAGTCGCGTCATCGTCATCGATCGAAATAATCGTCTCGGTAGTCGCTTAGTGGAACGCGTTATCGTGTTTGTTGCTGTGGCCATACTTTCTTACCTCTTTTTTTTTCCTTATTCATTCGCGAGATAATCGTTGACTGGAACAGATTAACTCGCGCTCCTTCGTTCCTCCCGTAATCGATACTGGCATTGCGATTGACGGTCGATGTCGGTCGAAAATATATGCCAGCAACCGCTTATAATTAACACGGCGACGGAATAACGCTGAATAACAAAAATCTCGCGCTTTAAAGACACTCTGACCAGATGGGGTCTTCTGAATTCTGGGCACTTCTGAAATGACAATATTATTTCAAATAACATGTTATTTTATTTTTCTGCGAATTACATCACGTAACGAGGTTGGAGTTTGGTTAATTGACATTTTTCTGATGAGTAACACGCCTCTTTTATTTTTTACACCAGTGGAACGATTATTTTCGTTCGCAACAATATTAGATGGACCCAAGCAAAAGCTTTTTGAAGAGTGGGTTCTGCTTAAGGTATATTGATGCAAAGATTTCTTAAAATAAAATCTTTTCGTTGCATATTATTTTGAGCATTATTTCTTTTGTCAGATTTGAAATGAAAGAATAACAAAATAATTCTTTATTTGAAAACGTTACTAGTTCAAATGAATCGATAATATTTTTTTATTTTTAAATAGAATCATCTCTTATTTTCATTTGAAATAAATTTAGCCACGACTCTGACTCGTTGGACTAATTTAGCTCGCAGACGTGAATTACTTCCACGATCGTTGAATAATAAATCGAGCTGTGCTACGTGAATCCAAAAAGACCCTATTGAATTCTAATTTTTTGCTTTCGAGGTGTCTATTGCGCGTCGAAGATAATCACGAAGACTCTATTCACTGTCGTCTTCGGACAACTAAGTGCTCCGTTTCTCGGCCTTGCATGGACTTACACATTCTATTAAATAATTTATCGAAATCGATAGACTTCCTATCGTATAGATTAGGAGAGCGAAGAAATACACAAACACAACAGACGATCTTTGTCCCGTCGGAGACTGGATTTTTTCTCTTACAACTTTCTATGCACGTTCCACTAACGCCCACGGTAAATATTAAACTTGCATCAGCAAACGTGTGCGCATTCAATTAGCATTAGTCAGCGTACACAAACAAGCGAGTGTAGCAACGAACGATTTGTAAGTTTCATTCATTGCGGGGCATTCCTTGTAAATATTTAAGGATTTTTTTTTTGTAAGTTTTTTTCTTTTTTTGTGTATTTAGTTCACGAGAAGCCCGATAGTGTGCATAAGAAAGTACACATCTAGTTTAATTCTCCGTACTGTAAATTAAAAATCTGTATGCGCGTGAACACCCCGCGCACACGTTCCATCAGTTTGTATTTAAAGTTTCCGCCGTGCGGGTGATCCTCGAGTCGAGATTCTTGACCAATCGGTCGCGTGTAGTGCGAGTTGCCCCGTAAGGCGCAAAGTTTGCCGCGTGGTTCGAACGTGCACGAAGTTTGTCGAAAGAGTCCGATCGCGTACGCGACTCGCCACAGTCGACCGGCGAACGTCGTCGCGGTGACGCGTCTCGTGTTTCTTTCGAAGAATGTCGTACGCTGGATCCCTTGTGTCATTTGTGTTTCACCTTCTGTTCTCCGGTTAGTGTCGTGTTCACCAGTGTACACCAACAAATCGTGCGCCTGGATCAACGTCGATTAAGATTTTGACGGATCGAACACGCTTCCCCCTCTCACCTGTTTTTACATACCTGTACTACTTGTCATCCAGGAGAAACTTACGTAAGTGGCTTACAACAGTGATGATATCTTTTGTATAATATCGGTGTATGAACCCTGGAAGAGGTGTCCGGTGATTTTTTAAATAGTGAAAACCCCGAAAGATTCGTCCGATCGGTGTCTCAGTGATTCTCGATAAATCGTCACTATACAGAGATTGTCTAGAATTATTCCAGTGCCGGTAAAATCTTTGATAGGGTGGATCGATAATTTATTCGATTTGAAAGCTAACAAATGGAACCCGTAATGATAATAATATTAAGTAGAGATTTAAGTAATAGAGCGAAGACATTTTTGTGCCCAATTCCAGAAAGATAACTCATGCAACTATATAGTTCACGAACGGAAAATTTTCGCAGGGCCATATGTAATAATGGAGAATCATTGAGAATCGCTGTACAGTTTTCACGGTCGTTGGGGTGGGTTCTGAGATCGGCTAGATATTCGTAATCGATCGAAAACGATCGTGACCTGATAACGTTGCGTGTCCCAGAGTGACAGTTTCGTCGTTCTGGATTCGACAATAATAATTCTTCTCATCAAACGTTGTCGCGAAGAGGACCGCGATGCAGGACTGTAAATATGTACACACAGGCGAATAGTGTAAAGACAAGAAGCGTGTAACTCGGCGGGAATCAATGAAGTGAAAGACCCCCGTAGGAATTTCATTGTCGTTCGACGATGAGAAACACGATCGAAGGTGTCGTTCGCCACGTTCCAACCGCATTCACCTAAATGGCCATATAGGTATCAGCGATAAAAAAAAGTGTCGCGCTTATCGTGGGCGTCGTTCGCTCTTATGCCGGTACATACACACGTAAATCGTATGTGTTTCCGCGTGTGGTCGATGGCATCTCGAAAGTCGCTTGAATAACGGACAGGGAGTGTGAACCATTCCGTGCAGAAGCTTACGGAAAGAAAATAAAAGTGACACGCGTCGAGGGATTTTTTTTCTTTTTCGCCTGATAGGTTAACGTTTCGGTTACAATTCACCGTGAATATATCGTATAGTTGTCGATACAAACACCACATGTATTCGTGTAAGAACAGAATTAGGTGTACTACGTTTTATTACATACATTATTTACTGGTTTAACATTAAATACAAATATACTTAATATTCAATTCGATTTTATATTCATTAGACATGTAGAAAGTACGGTAGCAAGAAAACAGAAGTGAACTGGCGAAAACTTTGGTGATTCTTGTGAACGACTTGACACTGACACGAGAAAGGGGGGGGGGGATCCACACTGAACAATTTAAGTTGGGAACGATTCGAGGCAATCAGGGCCGAATAAACGAAGACTGACCGAGGAGGTTCTTAACCGTATCTTTTTCGTGGCCAAGCAGAGTACGTGACCAGCACGGCATATAGCGCAGTAACTCGTCCACGATAATTTCGAGCTGGGATTCACTGACCTACATGACGCGTATAATTTAACCGGACACGATGTTTCGGCTCCACTCGCGATCTTATGACCTTTACAACTCGATTCCGGGACTCTATATTCCGCGTCTTTATTGTTCACGATCGCGCAAACGATCGCCTCATTTTTATCGCCGAGCGGCCATTATCGTCGCGTTTTTACGATTACATGGCTACCGGAAGTGGACACCGAACGTGTCCTCGCGATCAGTATTTGCGATGACGATGATCGTTGGACACATCTTATCTGGGAAAAACAAACCCACGATTGCTTACGTTTCTTCTGTTTTCTTGCAGTTCGTAAATATATCCTGTATACTATTTGAGAACGAGACAGTAGATCGTGCAACAGGGGGATGATGATCTAAGGTTGACAAGAAGATAGAGCGTTCGAAGCGATTGTCAATAAAGAAGCTGAAGTTTGACATGGACATGCTAGTATTGTATACTTGCTCTTATCATCGGTAATTCTCAAGGAAATTCACCGAATTAAGATAAGACGTTTCTTTGGAAACTGACCGTGTTAGTCATCGAGTTGGTCGTCTTTTTGGTTTTAGGATCGAAAATATATTTCACGACAAGCCGTTTCGCGCGATGAACACACAAACACTTTCGAGGGAATCGTTTGGGAATTCTATGTCGATCGAGACCCCCGTTGAAGAGAACTGTTGAGTTTCTATTTTTACACGTGACGAAGGTTCTCATTCGCGAGGACAGAAGATCCCACCAGAGAGAGAGAGAGAGAGAGTATTCGCTCATTTTTCTTTTTCTTTGCTTTTATTTTTACTCATACCGATCGTGTTCTATTCAAACGACCGTTGAGAAAAAGAGAAGAGAATAGAATGGTTGCGCAGTCTTGTGTATATTTGCTTCACGCTGAAAACGAAAGGGGAATTGGCGATATCGTGACTTTCCAAAAGCGGCGGCTGGCAATAACAAAATAAAAAAAAAACAGTTTTCCACAGTTGAGAATCTCTGGCATCCGTGACTCGAGCTGTCGTGGCACGAGTTGCCGCGAAATAACCGCCGCCGCAAGGAACTCGCTTAAGGATATAAGTGTGCTCGTAGATTTTACGATTGTGACTTCTCTGAGTAATACACGGAAGTTCCAATCGATACTTCCACAATTACCGTCGAACACGAACGGACCGTGAACCATCCGTCGAGCAAAAGAACCGCAGTTGCAAAGTCGTCTTTCTTGGAGGACCGTGAAAAGAAGGGACGAAGGGATCGTTGACGAGCCACACGCTGGTACCCAGAACCGTCTCGTATCGTACAGCGTAGTATAGCTATCAGGGAACGGTGTTTCAGATATTGAAATCAACCGGAGAAGAGACGAAGGTGTGCGTAATAAATTATACTCGTGTTCCGTCTATGCTTCTGACGCAACGTGCGCGAAAGGATACATATACATATATTTCCCAGGAAGAGATCTTCTCCTTGTGGCGGGAGTTAGCACGCCTCAGCTTTCCAACAATGGAAGCAATACGTATCACCTGGGAAACGGACGAAGCGTGTCAGAGAGATATACATACTAAAGGTGCTAAAGAGTCAGTCGTGTAACGAGGGAACGGTTGAACGGAATTTCACGATTATCTTTGTCGATTACAACACCCCAGAACGCATTTTCTCGCCGATGTTCTCGTTGAAACTCAAAAGAAACCACGTTCATTCACGGTGATTCAATGTCTAAACTGCTTCTCGATTTTATATCATTAATAACGAACGTCGCCGATGGTTCTTCTATTGTGTTTCCTTGTCATTGAAATACCGAGAGAATTACCTGTTCGACGCTATCGAGTTTCGGTTTCTGTCTTTTTGAGGGACACCTTGTATAAGTTAGATATTCCATGGACATTGCGCGGAGAATTTTGTGAAGCTCGAAAACAGTGGTTCAAAATCAAAATTTACCAGCTCCAACCGGTCCAAAACAGAATTTCTTTTATCTTCCAGAAAAACTGTCGTTTACTGTATTATTAATCATGGAAGTATCGATAATAATATTTTCCTAAAATATTACGTGTTTTTTTTTCAGTTAAATTTTGATTCTGGATCACTGTACGACGCGACGATCGAACAGAGCGTGGAAAACGAAAGAAAAACCGCGCTTGCCGGTTGACAACAGAGACTTAGGTGGTGGGCAAAGTACCATGTGACGATTCTCTGGCTTTCACCCAGAAACACGGATGCTACAGGATTTACGAAAGTATTTTTAGGATCTCGGTCGATCGGACGGGATTGCACAATATCTGTATATCTCGTTGGAGATTGTGAAAAATTGTTCACCTTTCGACTAATTCGCTCCAGACGGAATGCAAATGTTGATTTGAATTTCTTTCTTTTTTTTCATCGAAGTAACAAGAAATTGAGTGGTTGTAATAATTATAATAGTTAACGACCAAACACTGGTGGTAACGATCGCCGGTATAAGACGGCGTGTACGGTAACCACGGATAAGATTTATCGACCAGAATTTCAGTTTTGCGTGTCACGTAACTGGAACAACCTTTTGTCAATGTCTAGCCTGTATATAGATTCCGTGCAAGGATTTCATGCAAACACACCAGAAGCCTAGAACCTTCTGACCGAATTTCTCGTGCCTTCGAAATGGGTAATAAACGCGAAATCGTGATTTTCCGTGTGTCCTAAGAATAGAAAAAGGAGAAACCTATATTTTCGTTTCTTTTTCTATTTGTTTCGTTAGACACGATATATGTTCAAGTGTACGAAAATAATTGAGAAGCAGGTAGGAGAGGGGTGAGTCGTCGTCGAGTTAACGGGGTTCTCGATGGAAATTATCCTGCGAAATTAACTTGACTTTGTCTAAATTGTCCTTCCACCGTTTAAACGGGGGAACACTCGAAACGACGTCGAATTAAACGGTCGGATAAACGGCCGTTAATACGACCGCGAAAAGCATCTCGATATCAAATCGGTACGACTAAGTCGCGAAAGACAGACGCGTGCTGTTACCGTGATCTTTATCGGATTTATGCTGCGCGCGGTGGAGATTGGCAAATTTATTATCTAAGCCTACAAAATACGCAGGGCATTCCAACTTAATTTACTCTAAATTTCCTTTCACAATTTTTTATGTTCTTGTCTAAAACAGCACTTTGTATATTATTGGAAGGGAAAACTATGAAAGTAACAGTATCTGTGTTTACCTAATCTGTCAGAATAGAAGTAGTCCAATTGCTCAATAACCGTGAATATTTTGGTTGCCTACACAAGGGTTTAAATTAAAAAGTGAAAAGTACGCATGTAGCTCCAAATATTTGGAAAAATCTTGAAGAATGATAATTTGTTAGATAAGACATTTTAACTAAGGAAGGCAAAGTGAATATGTGTATATTTGTAATTACCGAGGATTGTTCCGCCGAGGAGACCAGCGATTCCGAGCGCTAGCGTCTCGATCGACGAGCCGCCAGATCAGAAACGAACTGCGAGTGCAATGAGCTAATTGAACTAATTGCGTTCGTTAGTCGTTCCTCGTAACCGCGTGATACCTTCGCCTCGCGGGGGATGCGTGTCGTATTTTCATCTGAAATCCTCGGTCCAGCCATCATTGGACGAACAACAACATTTGCGACGGCGACAGTAATTCGCGGTTTCTGTTACACGGCTGTTGTTTTCGCTTGGCGAACATGTGGCACGGTTAATTATCCCCGAGGATTTTTTTCGTTCGTACAAGCGGAGCAGTAGAAAAGCGAGGATGCCAATCTGATCAGAAATTATAATTAGTTCAAAGAAACCGACGTGTGGACTGCGCGCGTTTATGCTAATAAACAATTGCATAGACTAACGAGTTCCTTTAAATAGCACAGAACAAGGTGAATGAAATTTGTCGAAGAACATTATAAATATTTATTATCGCGCGTATAGTGTATCTACAAGTCGATGTGTTACAATTACGGGTACTGTAGAAGGAAAGTGGAGGCAAATGGCAATACAGTAAGTCATCGAAGAGTGCAACGGTGTACTAAAACATTGTTTATAAAAATAAAAATATTTCCAAAAATGTGTTAAATAGTCTTAAAATGAATATTGTTTATTGATTGTACGAAACAAAAAGAATGCAGTGAGCGGGTTAAACGAAGCTGACGATTGGCGAAGACCAACAAACAGTGTACATACGTTTATTTTCGTGTTTTCATCTCGATCGGGTTAACCGGGTGGTACTCGTCGTTTCCGAGCTTAACGGATTAACCCGAGGTCCCCGATTCTCGTTTTGCAACCATATTGGTACGCAATGATGGTAAATTGGACGAATCGCGCGCGGGTCGTTCGATTAGAACCTCGACAATTGGTGAATAACGTGACCGTACGGTACAATTATAGCGCAGTTCACTTCGAAACGTTTCTCCCTTATCCATCTTCAGTCGATATTCCATCTGCGTGGCACGAACGGAAAAGGGGGATGGGGGAATATTAAATTTTGCATATAATATGTTGTTACAATGAGAATTATTATATATAATTGTGTTAAAAGTAAAAAATTTGTCAATTGGCAACGAATGAAAAATGACGTTAAACGGTGTCAAAATATTAAAATGTTCTTGCGAATCATTTATATGCCGTCTAATATACACAAAAATACAGTATAATATTTCTTTGGTAATTTTTTAATAGTTTGGGAATGAAAGGATTAACTACCGTTCTTCTGTTACTGCCTCGTAGATCTCTCGACGATCTCAGGAGAATTTGCACGATAAACACACCGTAACGAAAGGGATAAATGTTAACTGACCTTTCGTTGTTTATCACAACTTCCTAGACGGGCCTTAACTTCCCCTATGAGCGTCGACTTCGACGGAATGAAGTTTGCGTAACACGTTAAAAATAAATCTGGACTTTAATTCCTAGATGGTCGATGCTTTCGATGCGGCTACTAGATTAAATTACTCACGTTCTATACGTGTATAATTATTCATTAAAGCTAAACGTCGTCGAGTACGACAAGAATGGAGACAACAGAGGAGAAAGCAAAAACACTGACACACTAGTATTTTTCTATCGTCTCTTGCAATTACAGGGTGTTCCAAGATAGCTTCGACTCCCGGACATGAGGGATTCCTGGAATGATTTGAAGTAAGTTTTTCCATATCGAAAATGTTAACAAAGCCTCGAATAACATTTTCGCTAAGACTAAAGTTGTTTCAAATCAGCCCAGGAATACCTCATTTCCGGTAATCTAACCTATTTTGGGACACCCTGTATGTGTACTCCGTTCCCATCCAAGTTTGCCCGTGAAGGAATCCGATTTTTTTTCAGTAGTTGTTTTGTTGACGAGAAGAATAACTGAGATTGTTTCTCTATTTTCAGCTCGGAACCAGTCGCCAAGAGGATCATCACCAGAGAGATCGGTGAACCCCCCGTCGACGAAGGCGTCGCGCGACAATTTCACGCCGTTTCCGTGATAACGTTCTCCGAAAGCTTGCAAAGGAAACTGAATAGAAGTGAATCATGTCGCGATCCAGATGTTCCAGCGTGTCCAGCAACGACTATCCGGAACATTTGAATCCGTTCAACGAAGAGATCACCAATATGCAGCCGCCCATGTACCGAGACGGGAAAACGAAAGACACGAAACACAAGTTCTGGACTTTCGGGAGAAGCAGAAAGAAGAGGTCCAACAGTTTCTCCATCAAATCCACCTGGTAAAATGTTCGATATTGTGTATCGCGCGGAATAACCAAACATTTGAACCTGAGGGTGGGGTCGTTTGAAAATATATAGGGTGGATAGACTACAGTAAGTGACATGTACCAGTGAATGAACATTATACACAGAAATTAACGAATTAAATATTGATTTTGTTTTCAATTCCTTGTCTCATATTCAAATCACTGGTGAAATCTATATTTTTGTCTTTGTAATTCAATTAAATACATTCTTCCCAACTTTACAAATTTAAATCTATACGTTATAAAAAAATTTAATTTTCATGTGCAGAATATTTATTGATATCATTATCATTTAAAGTTTGACTATAATTGTTACGAAATCTCTTAACTGTTCATTTATTGGTGCGTTCACCCTACATTATTATACCGTATCGGAAACATTTCTGGATCTTGTAGGAAGTTTTTGTATTGTAGATGTATATCGTTGCGCCGAACAGAGGTCGTATCGAAGGAGATGTTTGAAGGAAGCAGATACGCGCTAGATTCGAAAGTAAATCGGGAAGAATACAAGTTTGTTGAACTTGAACTTACCCAGTAAGAGTTAAACCGCACACGTGAATCGTGTCTGAGACTATGGTACCTGCGTCTGGCCGTCATCCAAGCTACACAAATAACGTAGAACCTAACGTACCAAACGATCGACGTCAGCTCGAGTTTCGTCCAAAACGCCTGTGCGCGATTTCTATTTGAAGCAACGTTCTTGTTCAGCCTTTTCTACGTGTTGTAATTACTCGATCAGAAATCAGCTTGAAATTTTCTTGTATTATACCACTTCCTGTACATACATATATCAATTCGATTTCGTGGATCATCGTTTGTTAATTTCTGTACGAAAGGTCGATCGAAAGATGCGTCACAAGACCGTATAAAATTATCCGTTGATACATAGTCTGCTGAACCACCGAAGCTCCGATGAGTCCGTTTGCTTCTGTTGTATGCCAAGCTATCGATCATTTACCGAGCAGACACGGACGATTACGGTAGTTAACTGTACGGAAACGATTACGATCGACATTACTATCGCTAAGCAAACTTCTATGTTTGATCTAAACAACGTTCATCCTATTGTCTAGATATCTTCGAGCAAATTTTTCCTTTGCTTTTCTCGGTGAAATTGTCTTTAACGGACGACGAAACGCCGACTTCGTGCGTATTTTCATTGGGAGGAAAGAGTTACGGTCTGATTGTTCGTCGAAATTAACTTCGGCAAATAGGTATATGTATAAATGTATATGTTACAGTAAAAGCGTTAATTCAGTGAATGTATACATTTCCTAGTCGATGTATGTCTTTACTAATCGGGTTAGTAAATGTATTCACAAGGAACGAAGTTTATAATATTATCTAGTAAATAAATACATTTACTAGAATTAGTATACATTCTTACCCAGATAACAGATGACGCCTTAAAGACGTCTTAGACCTAAAGTAGCCGTAAAATGGGCGTTTTCGAGGCGTCATGTGCTGGCTGGGTTATATTCGGTTCATACTTCTACTAAAATTGTACGTAAATGACATTGACTTCACGCTTTTACTGTGATACATACACTACTTTTTGTTTTCATGAAGGTTCCTCAGAATAATCGAGTATAATTGTTTACGGAGTGTATTATACCCGAAAATTGGTAAATTAGGTACTAAAACTAATGTAATGAAAAACATTCCTGTTTTGTTTCTATTGTTTCAATAAAACAAAAGACTAAATTGTACACCATATGGAGGACCAACGTGTCTCGAACAGAAAGTATATTTCAAAAATCGTAATCACTCGACGAAACTCCGTAATCTTTCCGTACTCCATGGCACCGAAGATACTCGATCTCGTTTTTCCAGTCGTGAATCAGTCCCCGAAGTTTATCTTCGGAAACGAACCGTGAAGCAACTTTGTCCCCGGCCGATTCGCAGCGCAATAATTTGTCAAACCGTCTCCCATTTGTTAGCCTTTGTTCCGTGTCAGGATTTATCCGTGGAGAGATTCAGATTGCGTGAATGGTATCGTCCGGCGAGAATATCCGCGTGTGGAAATCACCGAACAACAGTGACGGGCTTTCGGGCGTAATCGACGCCACTCTGTCGTCGTCATAGATCTGTTTGCTTGCTTGTGCAACGTAGCTCGGATAAAATAAGAAAATGATTACTCCTGATGTCAGTCGATCTCTACATACATATGGAAGGCCTGACCACCACGCGTCATCCGTATTCACTGTTCCGTTTCTTATCCGTTACCTCGACAACTTGTAAATTTGAGACGTTGATTAATATGTTGTCTCCGAGACTTTTGGCTCCGCGAAGACCTCTGTTCCCGTTCGATACGCGGCCGACAGATGTTCGAATGCAAATTGGATCATGGATGATCGAAGCTGGAAGACCTTTGCTCCGAGCAAACGGTCCTGTACGCGCGATTAATTCCGACGAATCGATGCTTCGTTCAATTTTGGTTGTGTACAATTACGTATCACACGCGGATAGTGCGTACGTTATTGCTTGTGAGTTAATAATATTTACGCGACCGTCAGTCGGAATAATTAGGTAGGATAAATAGCGTTGTCGTACTCCTACCAAACACGAATTGCAGAGGATTGCAGGGTTAAGAGCGCAATGTAAACGAGCAGAGTCTCATCACCTTGTCAGCGTATAAACGTGACACAGATCCGTTAACACGCTCGAACGCAAGCCGACTGGCACAATTATTATCATCTGACGCGCAGCGAACTCGTTAATTCATTCCTTCTTCTCTGTCTGATAACTTCGATCGTGTTGTTTTCAGGAACGGGCTGTTTGGGAAACGGAAGGAGGAGAAAGCGGAACCGCAGGAGAAAAGGTCTACAATCACTACCGGTAGCTATGTTTGGAAAATTCATTGATAAATGAACTAGAAGTTTGGCTGAATGGGTCGAAAATTATCGGTTTGCTTTGGTCTTTCTTTTAAATAACAGTCTCGTCAACCTATAAAAGGGAGCCTTCCACGAAACCAATGGCTCCTCCCCGACCTACAAGGGACCAACAAGAGTTCGACGAAGCTCTCAGCACGTTAACCAGAAGAAGAAAGTACACTTTGGACAATTCGTCGAGATACAGCTCGAGTTTAACCGTGAACGGTGATCCTGCGAGGATGTACGACGGTGTGCCACAGGACACGACCACGTCCATCATGGGTGAGCTCACCCCGAAACCACCGGCAAGAAGGTGCGCGAATTTTAGTCTTAACACTAAACTTACCGAACTCTTCGAAGAGATAGGAATTAGAACGGCAAAACCGGTCATTTGACCGGTCGTGGTAGATTTAGCGGTAAGGGGTTATATACTTTGAGCTGTTGAATAAGAGAGAAAATTAAACAATTTTTTTGAATTGTTGAATTTTTAATAAACAATAATTCTGCATATACAAACAACATTTTTAACTTTCCATCTTATTCAATAGCTTAATGGTACGTAATCCTTTAGGTAGTCTGCTTTCAGTAGTTAAGATTAATGTTAATCTTTCAATCAGATTTGGCCAAATAAGCCCCAAGCCAACAGACAAGATTCCGCCGTTGAACTTCGAGGACAAATCCTCAAAGGAGAACGGAGATGTAACTCTTCGCGAGAAAACACAGGAGAAAACGCCCATTCCCCCTTTGTAAGCGATTGCGATTTCGAACGGCTGTACGCGCCTTCTCAAGTTGATACAGTTTCGGAGCATACGGAAATTCGATTTTATTTCAGGCGAAGATTTGGTAACAGATCGTCGCAAAGAGCGAACGCGATTACGCTAGAGTCGGAAGAGGAGGCGAGTCGATCGGGAGACGCGGCGTTCTGTGACGAGAATGAAAATGTTCCCGAGGACTATGTCTTCAAAAGGTTCACCCAAGACGCTGTTAGGAAGTCCAATCTCTCGATAAACAGCTGCATCTCCGTTGGAAGTACGATGAGTTCGTACGGTCGGAAAAAACGGAGAGCACCGCAGCCACCTCGTCGAGTGGAAAAAATAGAGGTTAGCGAGGTAAGTCTGAAGAACACGAGAACGGCTGCTTTCTTCATCTAGCAAAGTGAACGTTTCTTAACTTCTTGAACGGATTGTTTGTTCATTAACTGCGTCGTCTTTTCGTAGAAGACCACCGAAGCACCTAACATAGAACTTCAGATAGTGGAACCGATCGACATAGTGAGAGTTACCGAGAACATCGACCAGATGACAAAGAAGAGTAAAGATTTGGACAACGAAGTCGATGAAACGAAAGGAAAAAAGTCTGCAGAGTCTACTACGGATGCAATTCCACCGACAGAAGAAACAACGGTAAGGGATACTCCCGTGCAAACTGCGGGAAATCACGCAGAAGAAACAGAAAAATCGTGCCTCGAAGTGAATCGTGGGGGTGAAAATACCGTGAAGATAGAACAGACTGAATTAAGGGGCTCTACAATGGAAGATCAAGAGAAGCCGAACGTAACAGAATCCAAGGAACCCACGAAGAAGACGGAAGAAGATGTTCAAGTTGAGTATCGCCGAAGTTCCCAAGAGAATGTAGAGATTATCAAGGAAGTCAACGAAGTATCGCCATCGGAACTAGACGAAGTTTGCCTAAGACGAAAGAGCTCTTCCGGTTCGTTATCTAGGAGCGACAGTTTCTCGGTGAAAGATGAAATCGAGAAGATCGAGAGGCAAATCAAGGCCCTCGAGGCGAGAGATGCTTCCAGAGAATCAACGGAGGACACGAACGACGATCCGCATGGGAATACCAGACAGTCGATTCAAGCGAATCGTAGGCACTTCTTCCAGAATATGGTCGACAATGACAAAGCAGACGCGGTTAAGATAGAATTTAAAGAATTCCCTAGAGAACAAAAAGACATTCACGTTGTGAGACTAAACGATTCACCGGTTCCTGTGGTGGCCCCTAGGAAACCGGTGAAAGTGATCGAACTTCACATATCCGAACCCATTAAACAGGTGGCGGAGATTGTTGACGACATTAATCCGATACCAAAACCGAGGAGGCACAGCGCGTTGAGTTTGAACGATACTCGATCAAGTTCCGTGGCTCCAATTGAGCAACGAAAGAGCCGCGATGAGTCTAGAGGAAAGTCATTCTAGAATTTGTTACTGTGGATCATTTAATATTATGTAGAATGTTGTGCAATCATTTCGGCTTCTAAATTAAATGGAAAAGAAACAGCTCCGTTGATTTTTGTCGGAATATTCTTTAAAGACTGTGTAGACATCGTGTACATGTGCCTTTATTTAAGCTTACAGTTCCAGTTAACTCTTTGAAGCGTCCTCCTCCTCGATTCAGATTCCATGTAGAGAAACTTTTCGATAGTGAACAGTTTGCAATTAGCATTGAGATACGGTGAGCAATCGCTGATATTGTCGTACTTTTCTTTCTGTAGATATTTCAAAGAGTTACTAGGTGTAATAAGTATGCGTATTATGTACTTGGAGCCTTAATACTATAATGAAACAATAGTTTCATCGACTTTGGGCATAGACTATTATGTGATTGTACATGTCTACCATTTACTTAGTATATATTTTCATTATTTATTGATACGAAATAAAGTCTAAAGATTTAATTATGTTTATGCTGTAGTTACTAGAGGCATTCAACAGTTTCTTATAAGATAATACAAGGAAGCAATTCATCCTGTATCAATTTTATTTGTAATATTTACAAAATTTATTTCGTAGAATTTCATAAAATCAAATGATAAATATCTATTAATAATAATTATAATGTAAATATTTTATTTCAGTCTAGTAATGTACAGTAGTACATGTCTTGACAAAATATTAGAAGTTATATATAAGAACACAATAGTAAAATAAATTCGCATTAATAGTGTTAATCTTACGAATTTAAATATTTCTTATCCTTTTGTCTTTATACTTTATAAATCTGGTGATATTTCCGTTTACCGTGGACACAATTGCGACATTGTCTCCTAAAGACTTTTTCTGTTGCCGCACCTATTTTCATATATGCATAAAAATAACAAGTTATTCACTAGCGATGAATCTAGATTCGTTCAAATGGATATCTTAGAAGAGACTTGCCTTATTCTTAAACAGCGGTACTAAAGCGTGCAATTTTCCTACTAATTCAATCTCATGGGCTAGCTGATCGCTGTCATCTTCCGAATATATATCCATTATTGCATCCAAAGCTTCTGCTATAACCCACGCCTTCGATTCCGTCATACAAGCATCTAATAAGAACACTGTTACTTGCTGAAATATTAGTTTTCGTTATAAAATATCATTCAACATTAAATTCTGATACAACACACAAATCTTACCTTAACTAATTCGTGAGTTTGAGGAACGTTATTATTTATTAAAATCAAAGCAAAATTTCCCAATATTCGTAACAAATTTGCTCGAACATTAGCATTTGTACATTGGCGTTCTCCGTTTAACATTGGTTGCAAGTCAGTTAAAGTTAACTGGTTAAAAACATTGGGTTTAACTTCGGATAATTTTTGAAGAATCGCCCTCATGGCTGCAGTAGCAGATTCCAATAATTCAGTATCATTTGGATTTGCATCTTTGAAAACAACTGTTCCAATATTGACCCACATTCTAAATTAGAAATGTAGAAACACTTTTTAATCAAGTCGTTTTCTCATTATTAAGATTGTAATCTTAGATGGACGTTGAAAAGTATTTTACCTATATATTTTTTCCATACCACCAAGTGCATCAAGTTCTAAACACGATATTAAATTGTTTAAACACAGATATGCTCTACAGTTTAGGGTATGCATTTGATGCAAAATAGCTTTTCCATCGCCATTCTGTTCCAATATTTCTACTGTATCTTTATCCACTGCTGTAGTTTTATCCCATACTTTTGCGATTATGTTACAACTATTGAAGACCTCAATTATTTCTAGAGGTAAAGATAAGTTCATTTTATTCAATTTATCACTCATGCAGATATCATCTATACCATCAATCTCACAATCTGAATCTTCCAAATTGGAATCATTGTCACTTTCCTGATCTTCGGAACATAAATTAGCTAAAATTTCTAATGCTTGTTGCTGTGCTCCAAACAATTTTCTACTGTCCTGTACTTTCTTCTTATGGATATTTGAGAAAGCATTTTTTTCGTAAGGCAAAATTGATATGAAGTTGCACATCAGTTGTTTGCAATCAATGGAAAGTGTTTCAGAGAGACCAATTATTGCTTTACAAACTGTACTCATTGAATTATTTTCCACACAGTTAGATAAACCAATCAGTAATCCTGTTACAGCAGTTTTAAGGCATACTATTTCTGATTCATTGGTATCATTTGATTCTAGACTTAGCAATTGTAGAAGCGTATTTTCACAACATTTAAGTTTTTTCACAGCAATAGAATTATCTTCTGATAAAGACAATAAACACTGTACAGTAACAGTGGCAATTTCCATACCATAAACAGTAATATCAAGGAATTTTGTTAAAATAGATACGAGATCCTCTTCGTTAGAGTACTTTATTGCATACTCATTGTTTTCACACAATGTCCATAACAATGTGACTGCTTGGACAAAGGCTTCTTTTTCATTATTTACTTTACTTTTTTCACTTTGATTTAGTGTTGGCTGCCAGTCTATATAGTACTACAACAGTAAACACAAATAAATCTGACAATAATAAAAGAATATGTTTTCTAACTTACTTGTTTCAATGAACTACAGAGTGGGGTCATGATATCATCCTTCATTAAACTGTTATATGCTTCTTCTTTTCCATTATCTGCAATATACCTTAAAGCACTCACACTTCCTGATCTTACAAGTACATTACGATCAATAAGTAATGGCCCTATCATTTTTGCAATTCCATCTTTTGCAATCTGTACAGCAAGTTCTGAATCACAAGACATTGACTCTAATGTCTGTAATCCTGATAGTTTTTCTTCAACATTAACAGACTGTATCTATAACATTTATAACTTAATTATTCAAATGATCACTGTTTAAGGACAGAAGTTAACAATGTTTGTTAATTTCTCAGTGAAATAATACTAAAAGAATTATACATCTTACTTCTTCGTATGCTCTTTGAAGAGCAGTTTCTCGATCTTCGTTAATAACATTCTCAGCTTCCGTCACTTCAAAGTCTTTAACAGATAAAAGCCCCGTAGGATTTTCCTTGTGAGGTTTCCTTCTGTCTCTTTTCTGTTTTCCCATTTTCGGCCAATATTAAAAGTTTTCGCAGGTATTTTCGTGCAACATACTGTTATCTAGGTATACAAGGTTAATTCCGGTTAGTTAAAAAACCACGTGTTTTTCCCAGCCTTATTATTTCACTCTCTCTCTATCTCTCTCTCTCTTCATTCGTCTTTTATGGTCTATTTCCATGAAGAATATTTCATTAAATAGAAACGAAACTTTAGCTATTTCGATATACATATTCCAATTATATAGTTAGAGATTTAAAATATAGAGCATTGTTTAATGAAACATTTTTTTATCATCATTAAAATAATTTTCATGGGAAAATATTTCTGTTTATGTGCATTTAACAATGATACTCAGAAATCAAAGTACGAAAATGTGCGGTTTCGTCTATTTATTTTTTCAAGATTATTATTGTTTGATATTATTTAAATATACATTAATTTAATCGAAACATTTAATGGCATAATAACAAATACGTTTATATTTTTTGTTTTTTTGCTGTGTATGCATAATTTTAAAGTTGCAAGAAATTACCCATAATCCACATTGTAAACCATTCTGCGCATGTCCATTATGATTTTATTTACAGTCCCGTATCTATTTAAAGACTCAAACAAAGTAATTATTCAAAATTATACGTAATTGTTTACACAGTTGTACGTATTTTGTTGTTTTAATCCCCTTGAGTAAAAGTTTCTTTGCTTATAGTAACTTATTTTATGTTAATACACATTTTGGAAAAAGAAAAGCCCTGAAAATTAAGATGCTTAGGTACGGTCCTAATTACATAATATGTATAAAAAGTTCCTTTACGCATGCGCAAACAAACCAGCTTACCTATACAAAAATTTTTGCGGCTCGTAGACGTTTTTGAATGTGCGTTACAACATTTTGAAGCATTAGTTCGAGACGAAGTGGACGAGTTGTCTTTGTTACGCCATCGAAGGTTTTTTCATTGTGACTGAATACTGTAAGAATTCATTTGAAAAATATAGATTATACAATCAGTTTAGAATTTTAATATTGTTTTAATGGTAATTACTTTATTAAGGAATTATTTGGAAGTTTATTTCCAGAATAAAACTGTGTCAATAGAAGTTTCATGTCCGAGTACAGAGTGGACGCTTTTTTTTCCGGCTTACATTGTACATAAGCACGTGTCCTTTTATTTGAGATTTAGTATAAAGAGAAAATGGAAAAAAGAGATCTGTTCTTATTGCTTTTATAGTAATTTTATAGAAACTTGTGGTTTATTAAAATACTTAGCAGCTTTTTTTTCGGTATACTTTTTATTCAGTTATATTTTCTTCGGTATATAAATTCTGTTTACATACAATATCTCATTCAAGTTTTGATTTATTACTCTTACTTAATATTCATTAGAAAAATCGATCGACCAGTTGTGGTTCAAAAATATTTATTCGTTAATCTGTCGAGTACATTAATAGATGTCTTTTTTTTTTGTTAAACTTCTACCAGTTCGACCTTGAAGCTGGGCCTGGCACTGATGCTTTTTTTTATCTCAGGTTGTAAACAGATATACGTTCAGAATAGTTTGTAGTTACTGGAAGTAGAAACATAGATGTATTCCTTGTTGTTCAAAAAGTACATTTATTTATAATAAAGAAATATAAACTTTTTGTGCTATGTATATAAATAGAAAACTTAACAAGTTTCTAATTTTCAGGAAGTTCATGTAAGTCATGTCTGAAAGAGGCCGAGGTAGAAGTGGTGGCCGTGGACGTAGCCATGATGACAGAAAACAACCGTCTCAGTCACGCGGTGAATTTGTCCCAGCATCACAGCCTTCAACAAGTGCCTGGAGTCGTAGACCTGGTCCACCACAGCAATCTGGACCATCGTCCCAAACACCGTACAGCAGAACTCAAGGAGGAACACAGGTATGTTAACAGATGATTTGCAGAGCTTAAATTCCTTTGTGTTATGAATTCTGATTGTTATCTTTCGTAATGTGAGTATGATTTTAATTGTAAAAAAAGTGTTGAATTTATTGTACATATCTGGATGCCAGTGCCAGAATGTATTAAATGCACTTCTTTTTTTAAAATGACATTTTACATGTGTCCTGTATCAAATTTTTCAATCTTTCAAATGATAACTATTTTGTTCTAAGTCATTTAGTTTTTAATATAATAGTATAGAACTGATATTACGTCCATATCTTGGTCCGAACCAATCACATACAAACACACACACCATTCTACATATTGAGACTTGTCTTAAGTCCATTCAATGGTTTGAAGACAGTAATTGTTTCTTATTGAATTCTTACCGAAAGGTTCCAAAGTTACAAGGTTTTTTCAACTAAAGTTTTAAAAAATGTGATTTAATACACCCTGGCTCTAGGGTTTGGATATGTACTTTTTTGTTAAACAAATTGTACAAACTTGTCTGTTATCTATGGTGGAAGCCAGAGGCAAGCACCATGAAATGAAATATAAAAGTACTTATGAGGAAATGTAAAGATATAAAAAATTGTTATTTTTAGTGTTCTAAGGTTCTTGACGGTTTGTAAATGTGTTTACTCATAGCATATTGTTTGCCCTTTTTTCATTCCTATTGACATTCTTCTAGTTAACCTTCTAAATTCATTTAAGAACAAACTGTTTATACACCTACTTTTCATTTATTTATGATTATATTACTAAATGCTTTTTTAAATACTAAATTTTAGTTCCCTTTTCTATTGTGTTCTTTCATGACAAATTTCTTTTACTGTTAGTATCTCTCTTTATGAAATCGATTCGTAGAAATCGGGTGTATAAATACTTCTTTTAATCACTATACTTAATTAATAAAATTGTTAAGTAATGCATACTATTGTTACATTTTCTTTGCATAGAGCAAGGTTTATCCTGCAGTAAAAGGTTCGGTGAAGGTTAGTGCTTGAATTATTGTTTAGTTCGTTAGCGTAATGTTGCGTACCCGATATATATTTTATATTATTATGTTTTAAGTGCCCTTTGTATCCATATTGTATGTATTAGTCTTTTTTTCTAGTATCCCCTATTCATGCTAAGTACCGTTAAAACACTTTGCACGATTAAATTTGTTATTCTGTATATTATTTTTAAATATTAATACTGTTTACAATTGAAAAATAATGTATTATAAATACACAAATATGTGTATTTTCATTATCATATTAGAGTGCCACCCGTGCTGTACAACGTACAAGTAGTGCCAGAGGTGATGGTGCACCTGGTTATGCAGCAGAAGGTGGACCTGAAAAAATGGAGGGTGAGTTAAGTAACTAAAACATGTTTTTGCTTTTTCCTTACAAATTCATTTATATGCGCTATGTGTGTTTCCATTCATATTTCCAGTTGAAAGTGCGGCGGGTGCTGGAGGTGACGCGGGAACGCTTGGAAGAGGAGCTATGCGTGGTCGACGACCTTTGCCTGCAGAAATACATACTAGACCAGCGAGTTTAGTCACCAAAAAAGGTTCTTCATAGATGTATAGTTTCCCTATTTGAATTATAAATGGTATATTATATGCCACTTAAAAAATGTGTATTACATCAACGTTGTAACTTCCAGGTACAACCGGAACGCCTACTATGTTGCAAGCAAATTTCTTCAAGTTACTTGCAACGACCGATTGGTGCCTGTATCAGTATAGAGTTGATTTTGCGCCTGAAGAAGATCGCACCGTTATACGAAAAGGTCTACTTAGACTTCACAAGGAAAAACTAGGAGCATATGTCTTTGATGGAACAGTACTTTATACAAGTTCACGTATTCACGATGTAAGGTTTCTTGTTCGGAATTTTGTTGGATGTACTTTTAAGTAATATATACTCGTGATTTTAGACTTTAGAACTCTGGTCTGTTAGACAATCCGACGATACTAAAATTAGAATCACCGTACGTCTTGTCGGAGATATGACTAAAGGTGATCAACATTATATTCAATTCTTTAATATAATAATGAGAAAATGCTTATCTCTGTTAAATCTCCAACTTGTTGGACGCGATTACTTCGATGCACGTAGCAAAGTAAGTGAAGCTTGAACCTTTAGTATGTATTGTAACACAGGATTTATTTATCAATCTATGCATAATTATGACGCAGGTAGAAATTCGTGAGTTCCGATTAGAACTCTGGCCTGGTTATGTGACTTCCATAAGACAACACGAAAGCAATATTCTCATGTGCTCAGAAATAACACATAAAGTTATGCGTCAGCAAACCTTGCTGGATATACTGAACGATTGTTACCAACAAAGTCGCCATGAATATAAGGCAAGAATAATTATCAATACTGTGTTTTAATTTTAGTCGCGTACTAATGTAAAATTAGGTTAATTTTTAGAAATACTACCAAGAACAAGTTATGGGTTTGGTGGTGCTTACGGATTATAATAATAACACGTACCGTATAACTGATATAGATTTCGATGCAAACCCTAACTCGACGTTTCAAATGAAAAGTGGGGAAAGTGTATCTTATAAGGATTACTATAAAAATTCGTGCAGGTCAAGCCGAATTGATATATCTTGTTCCTGAATTGTGTCGTGCTACAGGTACCTTCTGTCGGCATTTTCCTAATTTCAAGTTAGCAGCTATTGTATTCTATAAAAAATCATTTTGGTTCTAGGGTTGACTGATTCTATGAGAGAGAATTTCCATTTGATGCGTGCGTTAAGCGATCATACACGCGTGTCTCCTAAAGCTCGTATAGAGAAATTGATGGCGTTCAATAGAAGACTTCGTTCTGAACGTGCTATAGTGCAGGAACTTAACGAGTGGAATTTGAAGCTTGATGAGAAATTGGTTGACATACCAGGACGTATATTGCCCCCGGAAAAAATAGTGTTTGCCCGTAATGTTTGTGGTTCTGCTGGACCGTTAGCAAACTGGACCAGAGAGCTGCACAATAAAACATTGTTCAACCCGACCAGGTTGCGCGATTGGGTCGTAATCTGTATGTGCCGTCGTATGGAGCACGATGTTCAAGTAAGATGTTTTGCAGTTTGCCATAAAATTTGGATTTTCAAAAAATCTATAATAGTAATTTTGCCAATTCGAATTGTGCATATATATGAAATTGTTTTCTGTTGTGTTTCGCAGCGATTCCTGGGGATCTTGCAGGAATGTTCCCGTAAAATGGGATGTGCAATCGAGGCTCCCAGGATTTGGGATATACCCGACGATAGATCGAACACCTACTCTGATGCATTGGAAAAAATCATGAGTACCTCGAACCCAGAATTAGTGTTCTGCGTGGTATCGAATAATCGAGCTGATCGATACGGTGCTATTAAAAAGAAATGTACCGTTGACCGACCAGTACCGTCTCAAGTTTTCATGGCGAAAAATTTGTCACCGAAAGATCCGCGATCGATCGCTACAAAGGTGGCGATACAGTTAGCGTGTAAATTGGGCGGAGCTCCGTGGAGCGTTGAATTGCCACCGATTAATTTAATGGTTGTCGGTTTTGATGTGTGCCACGACCCGAATGATAAAAGTCGCGACTTTGGTGCAATGGTTGCATCTTTGGACAAAAGTTTAACGAGATATTTCAGTGCTGTAAGCGCTCATACCTTAGGGGAGGAAATGTCTAATGAGTTCTCCGTTAATATAACGAAAGCTTTACACTCTTACAGAGAATTAAACAAGTGTCTACCGTCACACATTGTGATTTACCGTGATGGTGTAGGCGAAGGCCAAGTTCCTTATGTTTTTGAACATGAAGTCGAACAAATTAAATCTAAGTTAAAGGATATTTATGGTGATCCCTCTGGCGTCAAAATGGCGTTTATCATTGTGACGAAGCGCATCAACACTCGAATTTTCCACAATCGGGAAAATCCTCCACCAGGAACAGTAATTGATGACGTCGTTACAAATCCAATGAAGTACGACTTCTTTATTATACCCCAAAGTGTTCGACAAGGCACGGTAACTCCATGTGCGTTTAACGTTATTGCGGACACGACAGGCTGGAGAGCTGATCAAATGCAAAGAATAACGTACAAATTGTGTCACATGTATTACAATTGGTCTGGAACCGTGCGAGTGCCCGCACCTTGCCAGTATGCTCATAAGCTAGCATTCTTGGTGTCACAATTCATACGTCGTCCACCAAGTTCACAAATGCAGAATCTGTTGTATTATTTGTAACGCTTTTTTTCATCACATTCGATATTTTTCTTTTTCTCCAACTGACCAGAAGGGAATAGTTTCCAGACGACAGTGTCAACAAATTTATTTTTATTCGAAATACTTCGTTATAGTACTACGTGCGTAGTATTATTCACATGTATTAGTTATAAGCAAACTTTTGTACTTGACAAAGATGTGCGTCGAACATGATAATTCGAACATATTTTCGTTTTACCTTTTTACATTAGTAGATCATTTAATTTTTTGTGCCCTTTCCAAAGATGCAAGTATCGTCAAGTTGTACGTAAAGTTGTACGTAAAGTTGTACGTAATTTTTTTTAAATTCTACTTACAATTTTATTTCCAACTCTGCCACATTACGCGGTAGTTTGAGTTACAAGTTACTTTAAGTATTGATGTACAAGAGTGATCCTCTCACTGCGGTCGGGAGTTGGGCACAATTTTATTCCAACAATGTATCCTGAATTTTGAACCGATAATTAAATAAATTAATTGTTAAATGTGGACTCATTCAAAAGTATTATTTTATTATAAAAATTGGAATGTCCATGTTTAATCAATTGAAATCAATTATCGCTCCTGTGCTATCAACAGTGTGGACCTGTTAACAGATTTATATGCACCGACACAGTTTTAGAGCAGCACAGCATTTGATTTGCGTAGCGAGAGGATCACCCTGTATTATAAATTAAATTCGTCCTATTAAAGTATCATGTCGTGAGACTTTACTTTTGTTACAATATCTGATGTTATAAGTACTACTTCTTTGATCTTCAGTTTTTAAGAATGTTACCATTAACAGAAGTGTTGTAAAATTATGTTACACATAATAATTAGACTGCGGATATATACTGTTTAACAAAAGTTAGAATTAAATGGAACTTTGTCTGAGTTAAGGTTTTCATTAGTATTCAAATCAAAATAAACTTTTCACTGTACCGAGTTTTAGTTAGGAGGTATTCTATAAATGTAGAAGATTCTGCAGTCTAATAATTACAATGTAAAATGATGCTCTTAACAATTATTCAACTGCGGGTAGTGCTGTATATTTTTTTATTCGAACATTGTGTTGTATTTTATAAGAATTTATGGTATTAAAATGTTATATAAGAGATTTTTTTTAGATACAATTGGTATTTTAACTTTGACATTGTATTACCATCAAAGGAATTTTAGGAGAGTTAGAGAAATATATGCGGAAGTACTTTTAATTTTGTTTGTGTGTGTGGTGTGTGTGTGTATGTGTAAAAGCGAGCATAGTGTCACCTAGTATGTGTTCCAACAATTGTTCTAGTGAACACGTATCTCCAGTAGATGGCTGCAGCATTCTCCACCTACAGACGCTTTCAAACCTTTCAAACAGTACATATCTGGAAGAACGGGAGTAAATAACGAGTGAGGTTAAATGTATTGAATTAAAAAAAACAGTTTAATTTTCTTATGAGCACGTAATAAAGAACGAGGTACATCATTGAAAGTTTACTGTTTGCTTTTCTTATATCATATGCTGTAAAAGTTGAAAGATTTGACTACTGCTATATATTATTGATATAATTTTATTTTATAGAACAATGGGTGAACGTAAAGGAACAAACTTATATTACCCACCGGATTATGATCCACGAGTTGGTGGACTCAATAAATTTCTTGGTACCCATGCATTACGCGAAAGAGCACGTAAATTACACATGGGTATCCTTATTATTAGATTTGAGATGCCATTTAATATATGGTGCGAAGGATGTGGAAATCACATAGGAATGGGTGTTCGCTATAACGCAGAGAAGAAGAAGATTGGAATGTATTATAGCACACCTTTATATCAGTTTCGTATGAAATGTCATCTTTGTGATAATCACTTTGAGATAAAGACAGATCCAGGGGTAGGTTGTTTTTAATATAAGCCTCGATATTTTTAGTTACATAAATACTATCTCAAATATCTTGTCTTGCAGAACCTAGACTATGTAATTGTGAGTGGAGCAAGACGGCAAGAGAATAGATGGGACCCTAAAGAAAATGAACAGATTGTACCAGAGACAAAAGAAGTGTCTTGTAGGCTTTATGATGATGCAATGTATAAATTGGAACATGGTATAGAAGATAAGAAAGTAGCAAAATCAAGAGATTCTTCCTTGGAAAGTGCAATAGCATTGAATGAGGCTACATGGAAAGATGACTACACTTCGAACTGTGCACTACGTTCTGCATTTAGAGTATGTCATGTATAATAATTATTCAGTATGATTTTATGCGTTACATCAGTGGTCTTTTGATTATTTACTGAAACATGTACTGCATTCTAGATGAGAAAAAGTGAGTTACAGAAGAAGCAAGGTATTGATCAGATATTACTTAAAAAAAGTGGACTAAATATTGATTTAGTGCATGAACACGAAGATGACGTGAAGTTGGCTAGGTTGTTGGTGCATAAAAAAGGTATGATAATTTGAATAATACATTTCTTTCAATAATTCGAATATTAATATGTATTTAATGTATTACAGATGGAAAGAAAAGTGGTCACCATCCTTTAAAACGATTGGTCTCTATTGTACGTTCCAAAGATAAGTTGAAAACATTATCGCAGTCTGCGTCGAACAGTGAGATTAAAAAATATAAAAATGACATGCCAAAGCTTCCTGAATTGAAGCCACAACCCTCAACTTCGAAAACGGTGACCAGTGCACTAAGTACGTCGCTGGTTACTTACGATAGTTCTGATACGGATGATTCATAGTATTTATGGCCAATGATTAGTGTAATATATTGTAAATAATATTTATAATCAATACAGACTGTACTATTTTGTTTACCATTTTGCATCAACTTTTATATTATGGTAACAAATGTCATGATCAGTGCAGTGAAAAGATTATACTCTTTTTTAGCATTGTTTTATTGGAACAGATTTTTCTTTTAAAGTTTCTTTACATTCTTTAATGATTTACAATCTAAGGTTAAGAACTTCTTACATATTTATTAAAAGTTATTTCACATCTATATGTTCATAAACAATCTTATTTTTATACAACTTTGTAATGTTTCCATTTATACATCAAGCAAAGGCTGCTGTTCTACAACTGCAGTGGTTGCAGAAATTAATCTTTTTTTAACTACGTGAATTTTTTTATTTGAAAGACAAATAATATAGCAATGATCTGGATATGTTATGGATATTTTGTTGAAAGCTTCATTGCTAGGAAATCCTTTAGGATCAATCTTATTGGTCAATGTAACTAAACCTACAATAATATTTGCAATCCTTTCATCGTTTTCCAGTTCACCTCCAGACTGAAAGAGTAAAATGTTATTGAATTCCCTGATTAATATGCATTTCTTGTCATATATATGTTAAAAAACATGGTTACCGTTAATACTGCACCATCCTCTGTTAAAACCAAGTATCCAATTTGATCTGGGATACGTTCTAGCAACAGCATGGTTGTATCTGTAATTGCAAAATTCACAACTGACATGTCTCATTGTACCAACTCTTTCTAGCAATATTTGTTGACAACTTTTTAAATTCTAACCTGCTCAAGAACAAAACTGTAGTTGTAGATACGTTGAATGTAACAATTGTTACGAATTTAAATACGTTTAACGAAGGATTAAAGAAATAAAATAATTCTACCAAAGTTCATGCTTTAATTCCATTGAATTTAAAACCAAATGGATTAAACCGATGAGCTGTCATAACAACGAACTGATCTCTTTGTGTAGGGGCACTGGTGATGGTGATTCGTTCAAGTCGGCAATGCAGAATTCCCCTCGTGAAACGTGACATATTGCAGAGTCAATTAAAATTTGAAACAGAGTGGCGGAAACAGGTAAAGAAATACTACTTTATATTCTACTTTAGTTCGAATTCTTCGAGTCATACATGCTCTAAAAGGAGAACTCACAGTGATCCTCAATAGTTGAACAAAAATACAAATAAGACCATTTGTAGATACAGAAATTACTTCTTAGCGGTGTTTAAAGATCTTAAATAGAAAAGATTGGAATAGAATTTTGTAATGTATAGTTTACAATGCGTTTAAAAAAAATTATTACATATCATTAAATTAATAGTAAGAAAACTAACAAGGCACAACAATTGAGTAAGTTCTCTGTCGATGGTTCAACGTGTATTCTTATTTTTCATAACTTTTTGCAAATTTACATAAAAAAAAAACGTTCACAGTTGCAATATTTTGTGCAAGTTTGTAAAAATTCATTTATGTCAAAGGGATTGCGCAGGGCTGCTATCAGCGAGGGTGGCGCGTGCGCAGTGTCGTCTCAGTGGTTCTCTGCAGTAGCTTGTCCGCGGTATCATGTACGCAGTCATTCGTCGCGCGACTTTCGAGCCGCGCTTATCGCCCCTTTCTTTCGCGAAGTCTTCTCGGCCGTGTATGCACGCGAAGTTTAATCGGGGAACCACGTGGCTTCCGGTGCACGAATCGCTCTTTCAGCGAAACGGTTCCCCGGTAACGTCCGTTCGAGTTTGTTTTCGTAGTATAATCGTCGCGAAATTTTACACGGGAGACGTTCGTCCCTGTCGCCATGGTTACGTCGCGCGGGTAACCGGAGAGACTTTCTCCACGTTCGAATTCGCGGTGACGGTTTCGTCGACGGTGCATGTTTCGCAAAACAGAGACTATCGTCGCCAGTTTTTGTCTACGGTGCGGTTTTCGACGAACGTTGTTTTAGTGCGCGAGCGTATCGAGTTCCGAGGAAGTGCGGCGAAATGTGACTGAATTTGTTCCTGCCTGTCATTGCGTTCCGGCCAGCGGAGTGGACACACCACCACGCTGCTATGTCTAGAAGGAAGCAGGCGAAGCCACGATCCCTCAAACGTGAGTAATCTTTCTTTCGTTTCGACATTATTATCGAGTGTATACAGGACCACCGTGCGCACGTAGATGTTCCGAAATTCACGACGAATTATCGCCACCGTCCGAATTTATCGAGTGACGCAGCCGTTTAACCGTTTGTTTGCTTTTTCTTCCCGGTTTTGTGTTTACGAATTCGTCGCTGACTGTGGCGACACGTGTAGCTCGCAGTTTCTCGAGACCTTGAGCTGGTCGTGTTCGAAAAAAAAAGTGCTTTCTGTGCGGTGATGGTTGTTTTCGAACGGAGGGCACGTTGCTTTATTCTTTTATGCGCGGATGCATAATAATGTAGGAATTGTTTTGAAACGCAAGTTGAATGATGCAAATGCATGGATACAGGTCACGTGGTACATATATACGTTAGAACGGTTGCGAAAGATGTCGCTGCAACGAGATTTGAATCACGTTACATTTATCGATAGATCACGGACCTGATGCATTTATTGCGGGTACTACCTAGAGTTGGGCAGAATTTTATTCGAATAATACACAGTGAAAAGCAGCAGTATCTGAGGGTGTCGTCCTGATCTTTAAACAGTTAACGAGAATTAAATAATTGTTCGACAGATGTCGATTCATTCATAAACAAGTATTATTTTATTATAAAAATTGAAATTTCCACGTTTAAACAATTAAAAATGACGAAATACTTTTTTTTTTTTATCTTTTATTCGTTATTCGATATTTTTTATCTAGATAATGAGTTTGCCCATCTCTGGTGCTACCGACAGAAAATTATAATGTAACGTGGAACGTTTCTAATCTAGTACATTGAAATACAAATTTGCAAATAAGTATTCGCAGTCTATAAAATTACAAAATTTACTGCATTTTGTGTATTTACTTTTGTAATGAATCCGCGAAGGTCCCAGTTGTAGCCATTTTGTTTCATAAAAAGAAAGAAGTGCTCTTTTATAGATATCGGTTAACTTCACACTAAACAAACGTTACACTCTGCGTACGTAACGAAAGATTAAATTAAAACGCCCTCCGCAAGAGGATATCACGTGGAGACGGGTAGCACGTGTGTTTCAAGTAAACGGAGAAAGAACGCATAAATCGAATTTGATCCTCGGTGTCTTGAAACTTCCGGAATCACGTTCGACGGGTGGTTCCTACGGAGGTGTACAGGTGTCCGCGAAAGAGGAGAGAAGTAAACGGGGAACGGTGAAAACGTCGCGTTTAAATGGGAAACGGAAGTATATAGGCGCAAAAGGGTTGCTCTCTGCAGCGATGATCCGAACAAGATGATGCAAGCATACGTGCTTCGGAGATAATCGGGGATAACGAGAAGGAGCAAGTGAGATGGAGAAAGAGGGCGACCAGATGATAACGGGGCGAATGGGACGAAGAGATAGACAGAGAAAACGATGGTAACAGGGTAAAATCGAGACAGAAAGGGGAAGCATATCGTGTACACAGAGGGAGAAAGTGGAGAGGGACGGTTGATAAAGAGGTGCTCGTGAAGGGAAATAGCGATAGAAGCTGCTCGCATAGAGTGGCTCCCCGTGGTAGAAGGAGAAGAACAAGAATGGAAAGAGGAAGACGAAAAGAGGGAGACAGAGTCAGTAGTCAGCCAGGATGGAATTAGGTGGAAACCCGCGGGACCGGTGCCTCTCCCCACGGAATTCCCGGCCTCTGTAATCACCAGTTCTCCTATCCTATCCAATTCTGGTCGCGCTGTTCCCTTCCCTATATCTCGCTTTTACTATTTTCTCACTTCCTTTCTCTCGCCGCCGCCGGCCTTACCATTTCTTTTTCTTCTTCTTTTTTATCCCAACCTCCGCGTTTTCGTTGTCCTTCAATCTTCGTCTAACGTTCCGTCTCTGGTCGAGCTTGTTCCCGCCAACGTCGTCCCAACTATTCCTTTTCTTGGAGACTTTCTGTCGTCGCGGGACCATCATGTGTTTCTTCGTTCTTTTCAGGATCATTTAGAGTATATTTTGTCATTACAGTAAATCCTCGGTGAGTGATCGAAGACTCCTTGGCACTGATAATGTGAGGTATAAGGCAGTATTACTGTTCAGTGTCGAATAGTCTTCGAACACTCATCGAGAACTTCCTGTATACCGTTGTATGCCACGAAGAGGCTGTCCACTTTTCGGTTGGCCCGCCCCGTAGACCACGTCTCGTATAATAATTTAACGAAAAGCCGTCGACCGACTTAATCCTCGGTTAGAAGTTGCATTATAATCACTATAACCACCGGACAGGAATTAGGGCTGTCACTGCAAAAACTAATAGCGGATTAAGTTTTAGAGGAGGCCCCCCGGTTAAAGGGATTAAACCGCGTAAGCTGGGAAATTTACATTGCACCCGCGTTGGCCAACGAGTCTCTTTCCGCTGGTCCAGGCCTTTCTAGAGTTATTTAATTATTATTAATCGATCGTGATTCGTCGTAATTTGAGCCTCACGAGACGAGGCCTCGGGAAAACGCGGAAGATCTTGGTAAATGAAACCACGAATAATCGTGTTTTCGGGTCCGTGAGTTAATTAGCAGATTATTATTATGCATCGATACGCGAGAAACGCAAATTACAATCACGATTCTGAAGCGCTAATGCGCGGTGATTCCTGGTCATTGCGGCCTGCTTTACGTTCCGTACGATCAGTGATTCGCGAATATATTCCAATATAGTGTCGAATATTAACGGGGAACATTGATACGAAGTTTCGAGATATAATCGACAAAAAAGAATTCGTATTCAATTATATACATTGTGCTGGAAGAATATACAGTAAAGGCTCCATGAGAGTCGTATAGGAAGTTCCTTGTGTTAATAAAAATATTTTACACGGTCACCTCAAAATTTGGATTGTTGCGATCGATGGTATCGTCGACAGAATGGTCGTTTCCGTCGAGATGTGATTGTATTTCGTGGACGAGAGTGACGAGCAGAAGTAGTCGAAAAGCCGGCAGCGCAAACAGATGGGGCCCTCCATTAACGCAATTACGAACGGTTTCCGATGGTATCTATGTACCTCTACGGATCGTTCACGTTATGACGGGCATTGGAATCCATTAATACAGCTTCGGTTCTGTCCAGGTTCATTATCGTGCATTAATTAGCGACACCCTATATCACCCAATGGGCTCCGCTACGCTATCGGGTCGGAGGCTTGCTATTTCGTGGCTAACCGCGTGTCCGTGTAGTTCTGGAACGCGGAGAGGAGGGGAGGGGGAGCTGATGGTGGTGGTGGTGGTGTCCGCTGATCCGATGGAACGACATCGAATTGCTTTCGCCGGAAATGCGTGCGATTTCTGCGCTCTGTGTTCCTTCGACAACGAAATTATGCGTTCGCACACACACACACGCACAAACACACACACACACAGGTGTATGTGTACGCACACCTTGACCAACCACTCGCGTTTGATCGATCGATTCGGCGTTATTCGGTGGTCGATGGCGATATGTATGTACACAGAATGAGTCAATAAAAACTATTATCTAAAATAACTCTTTATCTATTGGTTGTATCGACAAACATTTACATTATGTAGTATCTTAAGGGACGCATTGGATGGATACAATTTGATTGTATAAATCTTATTTTTTGTTGAGATATCAAGATGCCTGTAAGTTTTTTTAAGGTTAATGCACCTTTTTTTTTTAATACGTTGTTGACGAAAGAAGGAATTCAGCTATCTATAGCATGATGGTAATAAACAGATGTATCGACCTTGAAAAAACTTGAGGTCACCTTGATATCTCAAGAAGAAATGGGATGTAAAAGTGAAATTGTATCCAACCGATGCGACCCGTAAAATGCTATATAATTCATAAAACGTTTCCTGACACAATCAATAGGTAAACGAGTTATTTTAGATAGTGGTTCTTATTGACTCACCCTGTATATATAGCAGTACCATGGATACACGGTTTCCACGTAGCTAGTCGAATAAGGAAGAATTTCCGAGAAGAATTACTTCGACCCAGAAACGTGCGAGTGGCAAGGTAGAAGCAAGGTAGAACTGTTGTAAAGGTTGCTCGGTTAGAACGGCAATACGGGGGCGTTCTCCAGATGTCTGTCGTGGTCTGTCTGTTTCTACTCAGAACGACTCGAGAGTTCGGAACAGCTTCGCGATGAAGCACTCGTTCTACTGCGGGGGTGGGGGTTGAGGAAGAAGAATCGTATTGTTGGAAATTATAAAAGATTAGTCGGGGGAATTATTCGGAGGATGATTATATATAAAAAGAGAGGGTGTCCCGTTTAAATCGCCCCACTCGAAACTATAGACGATATTAAAAAAGGTTTCAGATGCTAAGATCATATTAAAAAGCTTTCTGACGCGAGTAACTTTTATCTATGTGGTCGCGTAGAGGTCACACAAAGGTCAACTTTGTTTTTTAAGCTACTCGTTATTCCCATGCGCAAAGTACTAACTCACTTACAGCGAATTCCAGTAAATCCTCGATGAGTGTTCGAAGGCTCCCCGGCACTAAACATTAAATATTTCATAAACCCCAATGGTCATATGCGGTTAAAACAGATCTCATTGGCTTCGGAATTCCAAGCTTTATCACTGTGCGAAGCTTAATTAAAAAGTCACCGTTACACCTGGAGACCTCTCCTTGTCAGTGCCTAGAAGCCTTCGAACACTGATCGAGGATTTACAGTAGTGCATTCAAAAATATATAACTATTCCTTCTGGAGGATGAATTATAAAATTACGAATTGTACAATGCTTTTCTAGTGTTCATGTTTCTTTCAAATTAACGTTCATCATCGTGATACGAACGTGATCCACGGGGCTGCTCGTAATACGTACCGTTGATGATAGTAAAGTTTTATTATAAAGACACACGGGGAGAGGCAGATGAGGTATACAGAGAGGCATCTCACGTTCGCTCGGTATAGCTCGCGTGCGCGCAATGGAACGTATAAGAAGTGTACGTACAAGCGGAGATAAAGCGGTCGCAATGTGTTCGGGACGTTTGAGACTGTTTTAAAAGTGGCCG